TAAGCACTGGTGACCTTGAACCCAACTGACCACTAACTCCATCAGATTTATGTTTCTATCAATTATAAATAACATCTGTCTATAGAATTAGGTTTAATATACACCCTGTAAAAAATCTATTTTTAACATTGGTAGACCTTGACATTTGGGTAACATTGACCTTGACCCCAAATGACCCCTTACTACACCCAAAGAAGGAGGACCTCCCTTGGCATGTTTGTATTAAAACTAAGACCTCAACTAAACAAGAGCCACCGCCGGGCGGGGGCAACGCTCGACTTTTTACTTCTTCTAAACGCAAACATAGAAAGGTTTGAACATATCTTAACGTTTCCTTTTTATAAATTTAGTTGGTCTGTCTTGTCACATTAGTTTTGTTTATCTATTTTGTATATACAATGTATATATGAATAGAAACACGCAATTCTATAAATAGAAACACGCAATTTCTAAAAATAGAAACATTACGCAATTTCTAAAAATAGAAATATTATGCAATTTCTAAAAATAGCAACATTACGCAATTTCTAAAAATAGAAACATTATGCAATTTCTAAAAATAGAAACATCAATTTCTAAAAATAGAAACATTACGCAATTTCTCAAAATAGAAACATTACGCAATTACCAAAAATAGAAACATTACGCAATTTCTAAAAATAGAAACATTACGCAATTTCTAAAAATAAAAACAACAATTTCTAAAAATAGAAACATTACGCAATTTCTAAAAATAGAAACATTACGCAATTACTAAAAATAGAAACATTACGCAATTACGAAAAATAGAAAACATTACGCAATTTCTAAAAATAGAAACATTACGCAATTTCTTAAAATAGCAACATTACGCAATTTCTAAAAATAGAAACATTACGCAATTTCTAAAAATAAAAACATCATTTTCTAAAAATAGAAACACGCAATTTCTAAAAATAGAAACATTATGCAATTTCTAAAAATAGAAACATCAATTTCTAAAAATAGAAACATTACGCAATTTCTCAAAATAGAAACATTACACAATTACTAAAAATAGAAACATTACGCAATTTCTAAAAATAGAAACATTACGCAATTTCCTAAAATAAAAACAACAATTTCTAAATATAGAAACATTACGCAATTTCTAAAAATAGAAACATTACGCAATTACTAAAAATAGAAACATTACGCAATTACGAAAAATAGAAAACATTACGCAATTTCTGAAAATAGAAACATTACGCAATTTCTTAAAATAGCAACATTACGCAATTTCTAAAAATAGAAACATTACGCAATTTCTAAAAATAAAAACATCATTTTCTAAAAATAGAAACATTACGCAATTACTAAAAATAGAAACATTACGCAATTTCTTAAAATAGAATCATTACGCAATTTCTAAAAATAGAAACATTACACAATTTCTAAAAATAGAAACATTACGCATTTTCCATAAATAGAAACATTACGCAATTTCCATAAATAGAAACATTAGGCAATTCTATAAATAGAACATTACGCAATTCTATAAATAGTTGTTGTTGTTGTTGTTGATGATGATGATGATGATATATATATATATATACGCACACACACACCAATAAATATATAATTATGGTCATTTAATGCACAAATCTGAGAAAATTCAGTAATTTAACCTTCAAGGTCAAGGTCATTAAAGAGCCCAAGCAAATTTGGGTTTGGTAAACAACAAGGTCTGGTCCTTAAGAATGTTCTGTTATAATATGAAGTTGATCCCTTCAATAATAGCAAAGTTACAGTCAGTTACAGCCAAAACAATGAAAATTTCAATAATTTGACCTTCAAAGACAATGTCATTAATGAGTGAAGGTCAAGGTCTTTCGGTATATTTTTAACAGTTATCTTTGAAGATTATTATGTTCAAGTTTCAAGACAATCCATTCAAAAATAACAAAGTTACAGCCAATAATAGCCAAAAAAATGAAAATTTCAATAATTTGACCTTCAAAGTCAAGGTCATTTATGAGTGAAGGTCAAAGTCTAGCTGGTTATTTTTAAGGGATATCCTTGAAGATTATTATGTTCAAGTTTGAAGACAATCCATTCAAAAATAACAAAGTTGCAGCCAATAACAGCATGAACAAGCAAAAATTGGACTTTTAACCTTGAAGGTCAAGGTCATATCTGGATGAAGGTCAAGGTTAGTGTGGTCTACTGAAAGGTCTTGTCCAAAGGGTTGTTGTGGCCAAGTATGAAGACAATACACCAAGAAATAAAAAAGTTATGATCCAGGTACAAGTTTGCGGACGGGAAAAGCAACGGCAACGGCAACGCCGACCCGACTATAACAATACCTCTACTTTAAAAAAAAAAAAAAAAAAAAAAGTCGAGCTAAAAATAAAGGCTGACGTATGAGCAAAAATGTTTATATTTATTTTTTAAACCAGTGACCTTGAGCCTAGAGACCGCTTACTCCACAAAAAATTAGAGGACCATCAAAGGTATCCACCTACTAAATATGAAAGATATCATTAAAGAAATTAAGCAATTAGGAGAAATTTAAGAGAAATCAAACTTGTCGAAATAGTTTAACCAGACAAGGCCCTATTTTCAAAGTGAAAAAAGGGAAATAACTGGGAAATATGAATGACACAGTTATATAACTTGGCAATATCATGTACTTTGTTTTGATAATCATAAGTAAGTAGCCATTAGTATAGATAGAACTTAAGATATTTCGAACTTGCCGTTTTAGGTTAACCATTATTCATTTTTTAAGTGCTGAAAAGGGCAATAACTTGGTAAATATGAAAGCCAGAGTTATGTAACTTGCCCAGATCATGTACTTTGTATTGATTAGTAAGTGTGTAAACTTAGAAGCCATTGGTACCGGTAAAACTTAGGAAAACTCCAACATGCCGTTCTAGGTTAACCTCGTACGGACAGACGGACGGACATTCTTACCAGAGCTACATTATGGGGTTTTCTTTTTGTTATTTCTTTTGTTCTTTTTAACCCCACAATGCAGAAAATAACCCCACAAGAGAGACATCAAAGACATCTATTGTAATGAAAACAAGACCAAACCCCATAATGTAGCTCTGGTTTGTACGGACGGATGTTCCAACATTTTGGGTTTAGGTGCTATTTTCTTTGTTATTTTCTTAAGGGCTACAAGCCCCTAAACCCTTTGATCACGAAATGAACCTATTGTTCTCTTTTGTTCTCTTTACTGTTATATAGTCTCTAAACCCAAAATGTGTGCTCGGACAGATGGACGGATGGACAGTTCAATTACTATATGCCCGGGGGCATAAAAAGAGCCCGAATCACCAATAACAGAATTCTCAAACAAGATTTTATTTTAAATTAATAAGTATGCCGTTGACCCGTATTTTCGGGGGGTTAACGTTTTAAATTTAAGCCACCGTTTTTAAATTAATAGTAAGTGGAAGACAAAAAACATCAACAGTAAGTTAAAACTATGACAAAACAAAAAAGGAACGTTTAAAATACGAAAATAAAACTATTTCAATAATAAATCATAATCTTTCTACTTTCACTATCGGTAGTCTGTGTCGCTCGGAAGCTGTCTCATATTTTCGGGGATTTTGATTGGATGGCCTCGTTTCGGAAGTTACGTTGCACATGCTCAAATTCTATACTGCACTCAAAATATTTTGGGACATTGGTTTAACCCTTTACCACATATATACGCGAAACAACGCACTTTCGACCCCCCCCCCCCCTTTTTAGGCCTCAAATAGTGAAAAAATGTCCTATTTGGGCCCCAAACATAAGTTTTCGTTTAAGAAATGTTGCTAAAAAAATTGAGCACTTTTTCGGCGCGGCCCCCCATCCAAAAGATACATCAGGGGGTTGCCAGAAGGGGGATGTGCCCCCTTCTGTTTGGGGGGTTGAGTCCCCCTCATCGCCAAGAAAATTTTGGACTTGTGAGAGGCTAAAAATGACCCCAGGTCGATCATAATGTAACGTTTAACCAACGCTGAAAAGCCTTTGACTCTATCTCAATCCCTTGAGAAGTTGCAGCACTTTGAAATAAATTTTGATGGAAAAAATCGAGGCAAAATAGTGATTTTTGGCAATTTTGAGATGTCCCCTCGTTGCCATGGTAACAGGAAATTTAAGACTGAGCAAGTCGTTACAAAGGCAATGGTCCAGTCAACATTTGTGCCAAGTTTGATTAGTATTGAAGCATTTTTCATAGTTTCATAGCAGTTTGAACTTGTAACAGGAGGCTTTTCAGTGAAAACGGCCATTTTTCACAATATGCTCATGGGGGAAAGGGTTAAGTTAGGCATAAGTCGCGGTGGTGAATTTTTAGGCAAAGATACGTTTTCAGGTTCTTTCTTGTTGCGGTGTAGTTGAAAATAACGTATAAAAATGAGAAAAGGAATAATTATAATTGAAATGACATTGACAGAGAACATGAAAATCTTTTGACATTCAACATTTATTTAACTGTAGTAATTGATAGAAATAAGTGTCGGCGAAAACTTGACTGCTTTTTGGAGAGTCCAATCAAACGCACGAGCTGTCATTCACGACCGGAAATGACGCCACGAAAATATGAGAACCCCCGAAAATATGAGAACAAGGCATATATTGTTCGAAAGTTTTTGTTTTTATACATGTAATTGAGCATAAAATTGAAAGAAAAGAAGATAAGCTTTTTGAATAAAGCATGAAAGGCATGAGAATAGACATTTTTTAAATTTTTTATGATGCTAAGCATGAGCAATAACTATTAGAATTCAGGCTTGACCCACAAAGTATAACAAGCCGGTAACGTCTGATATATTGGACTGCCATCAAACACATTTTGAGAAGCTTCAATGAGCCTTACATCTTACCCCTTGGTTAAAACTTAGCTAGGTAATGGAGAGAAAAAAGCAAATAGTGTGTTTGAAAAGCCTTGATTCATGATTAACATCGTGTTAAACAAAGTCTCTGAAGTTCGGAATTGGAGTGAAATGTCTTGGAGCGAAACGTATTTAACATTCACTTACGTCTTTCTTTACGACCATTCGGAAATCCAAGCATTGGGTCAAATGTTGGAGTAGAATCAGGGTCAATACATGGTGCACCATACCAATACCCTCTACAAGGTATCGGTTGTCTTTTATCAGGCCAAAATTCTTTCCATTTTTGGGACAGCCATTCCATGTTGACAAATTTCGTCCTTGGCTAGCAGAGTCACGTGATGTTCAAAACTTGATCTGAACTATATTAGTTAAAGTAATTTTTTACAACAAAAATATAACATATAATATCAAAAAAGGAAAGCATTTACTCTCTGATATAAAATAGTAGTTTTTAAAGATAAACTTCTTATGAATGTACTCGGAAAATAGTGTGCATTACCTAACAAAAGTACAAATCTACTCAAATCTACCCAAAAGCAGTGCAGACGGTTATTCGGGAATTCTAATTAAACTTTACTATCTTTTTCGCACTTATCGAGAATTTATTTTGGGAGGATCTGTAATTATTTGGTTTTCGTTCATTTTGAGACACGACATGTTGTTGCAAAAAATAAAAATCAAAAATCAAAAAAATCCGCCCTTTCAGGCACTGAGTGTACGTCCCTCGGACATTTCACCATTCATGGCCTTAATTGTTATTATCAACCAAAAGGTAACCTATAAATTTTGAATTCAGTAATTCACTGAATTATACTAACTATGTATGCATGTGGGTTTTTGTGATGATACAATTTAGATGCACGATAGGCCAATGAGACCATTATATGCATCATGGAAAAAAATAAATGATGAGCTTGACTGACTGATAAGATTATGCAACATGGACTGATACCTGAAACATATTTTCCGTATGCACGACCGACATGCACAAGCATGCTTTACAGGCGAATTGGAATGAAATTTAAGCCAAACATCGGTTTCTTTTTCAATTTTGTATAATACTAATAATGAGAATATCCTAAACTGGTGAAATTTTAAATAAATTAGGATTCATTGTAAGATTCAGCAAATGATAAAGAACAATTTTAGTTTTTGCCTTTTTATTGAGGGTAGCTATAGTCAAAAGAGATCTTGACTCCATGACGTTGACTCATATGACTATATTTGTTGAATTGGTGGCCAGGTATCGTCCATATTCTCAGGAATATGTCTCATATTTGGTTGCGATGTAAAAGGACTGTTTTTTGTTTTGTTTTAATGGCCTTGGCCTGCCCAATTTTTTGTTAAGTTTGCTCATATGGGACCTGTAGGGCTTTATATTATTTAGAAATCTTACCTTTTCACTAAAAATGATGCTTGCTGTATTATAAATTCGTTATAAAGATGGTTGACAGGTTATATGACCGTATATAAACGACTGTTTGCGTCAGCCTTTACACCAACATGACTATTATCTCTGTCTGTTAGCCGTCCTGGTGCATTGTTTCACTTTAAATATTTCTAAGTAAATTGAATATGTTTTTGAGCTATTTATTAAGTTAAAAAGGCAGACAACATAATTATCCTAAGGGCGATTCAACATTATTCAGGTAGGAATATTGGAACCACCCAACTAGAAAAGGCCAAAAAAGTTAGAAATAAAAATACCACAAACACAACAATAATGTCGTGCTGAACGATCTTTAAGGATCTGAATATATAACATCTCTCATTGAATGTACGGGCGGCTTTTTACGGCCTCCACATGGCACAAACAACGCTGATGTGGCGATAAGATAGAGAAAATGAAGTCCAACACAACAAAATTGAAAATGTTGCAGGCTCGGTTTAATATATATTGAGCCTGTTCATGGACGGTACTGTCAAGTGCAAACTACCATCCATGCCCCTAGCACCGGCTTAAGCAGAATTCAACATTTAAACATGAAAAGGGTGAAATTTTGAATTTAGAAACATCCGCAGAAATAGCTGAAATTTCATAGTTGTCAAAAATATTCCCACTCTGGGCAGCTTATTATAAGTATTAGCTAGAGTAAAATAAAGTACTAGTTTTAAAAAAAACTTTCCCAGAACTTATGATGAGTTTCAATATGTTGCATTTTAATTCCAAAAGAAACTTTACAAAAGTTATTTGAACCATGTCCTAAGCCAGTGGTCGGAAAGGTCACAGTCATAATTGGCACGCTAAACACACGTGCATTAAATTGTTAAAGTTGACCTCACATTAGACATAATAAAAACAAGCTAGCTGAAAAGTGAAAGTGTGTGGTTCCAATATTCCTACTTAAATAATGCTGAATCACCCTTAGGATATGTTGCCTGCTTTTTATAGCTTAGTGTTTTGACTACTTATCTGTGATATGCAAGCTTCATAACCTCCGATCCCCTTTCAAAATTCCATTTTGTTTAGTTCCACCCATTGGACAAACGCTTTTCATTACTTTGGGACCATACGTTGCTTTTTATGTCACATTGAAGGTTTCTTGTCCGTATGAACACATCTGCGGATGTTTCTTAATTCAAAATTTTACCTTTTCATGTTTAACTGAAACGCAAATGAAAAAAAGAAGAAAAAATGCAACTAAATTCATCTGGTCGTTGTGCCATTAGATGGAAGCAACTATGTGTCTAACTTTCAGTGGATAGCCGTTGAAACAGACATATTAAATATATACAAGATATTGAAATAGTATTTAATATACCAACAAGTGTGTTATTAAAGACATATATTATTACATCAGTAACGATCGGAATTTGATAATTGACCTTGCATTAATGATGACCCTCGGGCTGAAACTCTCAGGGCTATTATTTATTTAGCGGGCAGATTATCGCCTTCTGACACTACTGTGCTGTGTATTACTGTAACCTCTTAAAAACTAATATAAACATAAGAGGAAATATAGCGCATATAAAACAAAATCGAATAAGCATATAAAAGCATAAAAGGAATGTGAGGCTAGTGAGAAGCCTAAAATAAACATATTTGGAATAGCCTTAAACAAAATTTTAACAGCACATAAATAAAAGAAAACTATCTTTATAACATAAAAATAAAGTTTGATAGATCATTTTGTCTCTGTCTAACATTTGGTTATGTGGCATGATACTGGCATCTCGCGAGAACAAGCTTTTCTCCCCATGCCAAGTGTTTATAAAAATTGGCAATAATTAAAAAATGATGATTCCTAAGATTTCCTGGAAGTTGATTCCGTACTTTGGTTTGGCAGCGACATACAGAAAAGATTTCTCACCAATCACCATATTTATCGGCTCTTGGAAAAGATACATAATCTGTATTAGTATGTAATATTTTGTATATTTCAAAGGTAATTATTTTTTTAACCTGCCAACTTTCAAAGAAATAAGACCAGATTTCTTAAGTTTTGATCATACATGCTATTAAAATGATCATAAATAAATCTTAAATCTCTTTCCTTATTTTTATCTATTGTTATAGTGTTTTATTTATATTGGTAAAATACCAACTATGAGAATTTTTTCAGAGGATCCTGTTATGCTAAGATAGTTGCAGACGGGCACACTACAAGACCACCGGACCTATAACATGCTCTGCAAGACTGCAGTTAGGGGGTATGGTGCCGACAGATAATCCAAAATGAAATATGATGGACAGAGAAAAGGGAGACAAACAAGATCCCATAGTGATTGTTAGACTAAAATATTTTAGAAAGAAGAGTGTCACAAATCATAAGATTGTGATCAAACATATGCTTACAGTAAATTAACAGTTCAATAACTTTTTTTTCCGTCAAGACCGTAATACACTGAAATCATTTCGAAAACGAGGCACTGAGTGCAAAGACAGTTGAGAGCTTCAATACACCCTCTCAGTTACAGTGCTAGACGCATTTCACGTATGAACGATAATCCAGGACAGAGACTTTATACAGAGCTCTGTGTAGTCATATAGAAATAGATCATCTGAAAAAGTGAGTTCTTGGCGGTACTTGTCGGTAAATAGGGAGACCGATTTCGGCAATTCAAGTAGATTTGGGCGAAATACGCATAAGGGAGATAAATACTGTATACATAAACCAAAACAAAATTCACGTGTTGGAGAAAAAAACATATCATCATGGTTGATTTACACAGTTCTAGCGATTCAGAAGCTTATGATTCTGACGAGGAGGTACTTTGATTACATTATTAAAGGGCAGACGGTTTCAATTTCTATGCAAACCGCCATAGGTCTATAATATTACGATTTCGCACCTGTGGCGATTCGCCCCATAACGGGTCGACCCACTAGAGAGATGATTCGCCTCGCTTCATTTTAGACATGTTTTTTATTATTTGGTTTGAAATATCACTATGATAAGGTTCACATTGGACTGTAAGGCACTCAAAATTCATGCCATAGATATGGATAAACGGAAAAGAGTCAACTCGGCCCTATACCGACTCGGCACGGGTCAACTCGGCACGGGTCAACTCGGCCCACTTTACAAAAATATATATAACGTATTAACTTTGCTTTGCATTTTGTTAAGGTAAATGAATGATGAGAAATATCTTATTATTATATAATTATACTTCTGCCGAAATAAGTACATTTAGATTTTTTTTATTTGTCTTGCAGATTCGATAAAATTAATATAGATCGATCTAATCAAAATGTTTTTCCTTAGAGGCATTTTGTTTGTAAAGTAACATTCAAAAAAATATGAAACAAAAAAACGTATTAACTTCATATCATAAGCTTCTAATTAATTGCAGGTGGTCACTAATCAAATTGGAATGAATGAGTCAATCATAATTATCACCTAATTAATCGGTATCCTTAACATACACACTGATTGATGATAATAATAGCCTGTAACAATATATATTTCAACACATTGTTTGACACTGAAGGTATTTAAGTCAGAAATACAGTGAGATACGCAATCGGTTATCTTTACTCGCAATTCTACTGATAAGAAATTCGGAAACTGTCAATAGGTGTATTATAAATAATTACAATAATAACAATAAATAACTTGATAACACAAACCTAAATATTAATAATTGAAAAGTGGGCCGAGTTGACCCGTGCCGAGTTGGAATAGGGCCGAGCTGACTCGGGGGCCGAGTACGTTTTAGGGCCGAGCTGACCCGGATTCTGGATAAACACCATTTATAATTTTAGCGGTCCTTTATTTAGTGTGGGCCATTTTTAGCTCGACTATTCGATAAGAATAAGTAGAGCTATTGCAGTCACCCGAGCGTCGGCGTCGGCGTAACCACTTATGTTAAAGTTTTTGTAATAGTTCAAATATTTTCAAAGTCCATTGACATATGGCTTTGAAACTTTGCACACTTGTTCACCATCATGACCCCAACCTGTAGACAGGAGGAGGTAACTCTATCAAGCATTTTGACAGAATTATGCCCCTTTTTCGACTTAGAATTTACGTTAAAGTTTTTGTAATAGTTCAAATATTTTCAAAGTCCATTGACATATGGCTTTGAAACTTTGCACACTTGTTCACCATCATGACCCCAACCTGTAGACAGGAGGAGGTAACTCTATCAAGCATTTTGACAGAATTATGCCCCTTTTTCGACTTAGAAATTACGTTAAAGTTTTTGTAATAGTTCAAATATTTTCAAAGTCCATTGACATATGGCTTTGAAACTTTGCACACTTGTTCACCATCATGACCCCAACCTGTAGACAGGAGGAGGTAACTCTATCAAGTATTTTGACAGAATTATGCCCCTTTTTCGACTTAGAATTTACGTTAAAGTTTTTGTAATAGTTCAAATATTTTCAAAGTCCATTGACATATGGCTTTGAAACTTTGCACACTTGTTCACCATCATGACCCCAACCTGTAGACAGGAGGAGGTAACTCTATCAAGCATTTTGACAGAATTATGCCCCTTTTTCGACTTAGAATTTACGTTAAAGTTTTTGTAATAGTTCAAATATTTTCAAAGTCCATTGACATATGGCTTTGAAACTTTGCACACTTGTTCAACATCATGACCCAACCTGTAGACAGCAGGAGGTAACTCTATTAAGCATTTTGACAGAATTATGCCCCTTTTTCGACTTAGAATTTACGTTAAAGTTTTTGTAATAGTTCAAATATTTTCAAAAGTCCATTGACATATGGCTTTGAAACTTTGCACGCTTGTTCAACATCATGACCCCAACCTGTAAACAGGAGGAGGTAACTCTATCAAGCATTTTGACAGAATTATGCCCCTTTTTCGACTTAGAATTTACGTTAAAGTTTTTGTAATAGTTCAAATATTTTCAAAGTCCATTGACATATGGCTTTGAAACTTTGCACACTTGTTCACCATCATGACCCCAACCTGTAAACAGGAGGAGGTAACTGTATCAGGCATTTTTTTTACTATCAAGCACTAAGAATAGTCGAGCATGCTGTCCTACCGACAGCTCTTGTTTGTGTTTCCTTAGTCCAAATAATTAGCTGTGAAAAACGTTATTTAATATTTTATATTTATCATTGGGACATTTTATATTATCAAGGCTTTTTTCAACGTCTAAATGGATTGTATCAAAAACAGTAATCAAATTTAGCACTGGCCCAGTGGCCCATGGCCAGTGAAAATTTGTTCGGGCTAGTGCAAATTTTAAGAAAATTTAGTTAAATATATAGTAAAATAAATTCAAAAACTGGAATTCGGGCCAGTGAATTCAAAATCTTAAATCCGATGATTGCAAAAAGACAGCATACATCAAATTTATCAAAGTAAGGAATTTCATGTCAAAATATGTGCAATGCAATGAAAATTATATCTTTTATTTCATAACCTAACTAACAGTTTCAAAATCACTTCTATATTGGTTGGAACGCTGATTTAAATTTTCATCACTGATGTTTCCATCGATTGTCAGCCATATTGAAACTATGCATGTTGGTGCAATAAAATTTATGCAGCAACGGTAGACAAAATATTTTTCCCCAATGTTATAAATATACATTTACACCTAATACAAATATATAAATAAATTGCATTAGGATTTTAGATTAAAATAATAATTTTTATCCAGCATTGATAAAATTAAAGAACAAAATATACAAGTATCATTAATCAAAATAAAACTATATAAAACTATACATATATCCCATAAAAAAGATAGAAAATGCATTGGTATCATTGTCTGGTACTGGAAGCTATAAGGAGAACAGTATACTTGAATTTTCTCAAAATATATTGGTTAATGCAAGGTAGACTAACAGACTTAAATCACACTATCATTATTATAATTATTTTGTCTGCATTTCACATTATAGTACACTTTAGTGTTATACAATAGAAATAATTGAAAACCTAACAGGTTTCTTGCTTGACCATTATAGGTCACTAAATGGGTTCGAGTTACTTGAATCTATGCAACTCCAGCAGGTGAGGTGGTGTTGACCCCTGGTATTGCTTAAAGCATGTAACACCCAAGATCAGCCAAAATCATCTTTCCTGTTCTGGTGCCACATGAACTAAATTGAGTTGGTGAGCCTTAAAACCAAACAAGACAACAAAAAAAAACTCTTGTGAATGATACAGGGCCATTTTTGTCATCATGGCTGTTTTGTTTACCAAACTGGGTATTGTGGGTAATATGATAAATATAATAATTTTATTTTCTAATTCTAGCTTCAGAAAGCATTTGCTGAGGGAAGGCTGAAGTCCACAGGACTCAATGTAGAAGTTGCCCCACCCAAACAACTAATAAACAATGTGGTAAGTTTGTGTACATGTTACAAAACCTATCTTTAATTGATTTTTCCTATTAAGGAAGTGTAAGTATTAAGTAAGTGTTGATTGTTTATTGTAATGATATAATATTCAGTTAATGGTGGCTTTATCTTGAAGTGACAGTGCATAACTGCAGAAAATGTGATACAGAGATTGAAAATTTTCCATGTCTGATAGTCTTTGCTGCAGGATGAGTAGAAATAGGAATCTTTCCGAACTCCGATAGGCAAGTGAAAAATCGGGGAAATAGAAAACTGCTAAATTGATGATAATAATTTATAATTATGTTTTCAAACAATGGAAAACCAGACTCAAACTGTTCTTTTGGGGTATGTAAGAAATGTGCACTTTATAAACTGCTGACAGGAGCATTTGGTTCATCCTCCCATCAATAGTTTATATTTTGCATGTTTTATACATACCTAAAACATCAGCTTCGTTTCAAGTTTTCCTTCGCTTTATGCCACCATATTTGATATGTTCATAAAAATAAAATTTAAGCGGTCTTTTACTTAATTATTTTATTATCCAAATTCAGTTGATTGAAATGTTCATTTCATTATACATTTGTTAAAAAAGATAGATTAAAGCTGCATAGGTAATCTTAAAAAATCAAGTTGAAATGCAGGACGATTATTTTTTTCAGTAATGTACTGGAAAGATGCATGTATATTAGGAAAATTCTGATACAAACAGATGCTAAACATAAACAAACACATTTTTATCATGGCTGCCATAAAAAAATTCTTATACTATACTATAGCATAGTAAGAACTTATAGCCTCTTTTCTCTATGTGCAAAAATACAATACTGTATATAGAACATGAAATTATCTTTGTGCTTAGTTTGTAAGGCAGGATGCATGACAGAAGTTTTCTGTTTTTGTGCACTATTTTGTTTATACATGTAATGATGTACTTCCAGTCTGGAATGAAACAGAAATTAGACGAGCTGCAACAGACTTTAGACTGGACAGAAAGACTAGATCTTACAAATGACCCAGCCCCGCCTCCAGGGGGAGGGACAGAGCTAACAGAAGAAGGAGATGAACTTGCTAATAATGATTTCAAAAGAGAACTCAGATTGTAAGGTTTTTTTTCTCACTTTACTATTTTCATCTCTCCAGTTTTGACTATTTTTAATTCACCTGAACTGCCTTTTTTTAGCTAAATGGAAAGAAAAGATCGATATTACAGCTTCTGACATTAATACTTGACTTTCATCTCCTCTTTGGTGAATGTTGCAACTACATCTAAAAATTTGGCATTGTTCCTTGGTCTGCTTGCAATATTGTATCATATATTTTGATTTCTTCCTTTCGCCTTTGATAGAACTAAATAATAGAAATTAAGACTCCATTTTATATCTTTAAGGTTGAAATTAGCTTTTAATTGTTTCAAAACTTAAAAAGGTTTCAATCGTTCATATGTATATGTGTACTTTTCACAAAGTTGTTTTCCCATCAAGTGAAGTACATCCAACATACTAGTAAAATGTCTTTTGCTAGTTATTGAACAAGTAAACATTTATATAGCGAAAAAGTCAAGCTATTCAGTATTCTGATCGCTGTGTTGTTCTTGTAATCGTGTTGTTGTGCAAAAATGTTAATGTAACCCAAGATTTAGAACATTTTAAAATGTATCAATTACAACTTACTTGGAAGAATTGTTTATCAGTGCAGTTGCAAGACAAGGGACATTTTTCTGAAAGCTGTATTTTTGGAGTTATGCCCCATTTTAGCTTCTTATCTTTTTTTTGGTCAAAATAACCCATCTATAAATGTAGAATAATTTCAAACTATGAACAGTATCAACATGAAATTTGGAATACTTGTTTGTCATTAAAATGCACAATTGTAAGACAAAGGACATTATTCTGAAAGCTGTATTTTTGGAGTTATGCCCCTATTATACTCTGAAATTTTTTGGTTAAAATTACTTAATGCTTAATTAGAATGAATTCACAATTATGAGAGGCAACAAGATGAAACTTGGAATACCTGTTTATCATTACAAGGCACAGTTGGGAGACAACATTGGGCATTATCCTGAAAGTATTTCATAATCATCTTTTGCATATCTTTTTGTTTTAGGTGCCCTAGTTGATTTATGATAAAAATTCAAATTTTATGTTTTTAGACCTCAATGGATTTCTTTTAATACAGCTGTAGGGCATCTGCTTGGTAATATTTAAATGCCCTCTTAAATATTCCTGAATCACTGGCTAGGGATTGTCACAATTGGGTTGGAATTAACTGGGGTCACAGTCATGGTCACTTATAACACACCAGAACTGATTAATCCTTTGATTTGAGAGGGGTTCAAAAAAATATGTGTTGAAACTGATAATATCAGCATTAAATATATCAAAACAAATGACATTGTTATGAATAAAGAAAATAGGTTTAATGCCCCTGTGTTTATATTATTTCAGCTACAGGCAAGCACAGGCTTCAGTACTGATTGGCATACCACGTCTACACAAGAAAGGTTTGAAAACTAGAAGACCAGAAGATTATTTTGCGGAAATGTCAAAGTCAGATGTTCACATGAAAAAAGTATGATTATTAAACATGTAGGGTTTTAATTACTCCTTTGTTATATGTGATGTATACGAGCAAAGTGAGATTAATCTTTATTAAGGTGTTGATAATTTAGCATAAAATGTTTGCTGGAAAAACATAACCATCCGAACATTCCTAAAAAGGCATTGTTATTCTTATCATATTTGAGCCGCGTCATGACAAAACCAACATAGTTTGTTTGCGACCAGCATGGATCCAGACCAACCATGGCATCCGTACAGTCTGATCAGGATCCATGCTGTTCGCTATCGGTTTCTCTCCTTGTTATAGTGTTTGTAAGCGAATAGCATGGATCCTGATAAGACTGCGCGGATGTGCAGGCTGGTCTGGATCCATGCTGGACGCAAACACACCTTTTACAAATGAGTACTATATTATCATTAGAACATTACTTGTCATTGTTTTATAAACATACTTCAAATGATCATGAAGTATTGCTGACTATGAAACGCTACTAATTTATCAAGTACACATTAGAAATTATGGCTGGTGAAATATGTCAACACATGTAGTATTTTGACATTCATCCGAGTTTTTCAGAAAATTAATTTCAAGACAAGTAATGGATTTGAAAGAAATGTCTATTATCCATTCTGTATTATGTAAGACCCAAAACAATTTGTAAATGATTGGTTTAAAATGGAATGTTTTTGAGAAAAATTGGACATTTGTTACTACAGTAAACTTCACTTATAGCGAACACGGTTATAGCGAACTTCCGGTTATAAGGAACAATTTATTTTGGCCCGAATTTTGCCCTTCTTTATCTTATATAAAATAATACGGTTATAGCTAACACGCTTATAAGGAATTATTGCTTATTAGGAACTCATTTCTTAGTCCCAATTTAGTTCAAAGTACAGAAAATTACACTTTTTATAACGAACTCCAAAATATCGGCTATCCGTAAATAGATCCCACATTTTCAACTTTCAATTTCATTGGCACTCGTCCGAATGTACTGTTTATTAGCTCACCTGTCACAAAGTGACAGGGTGAGCTTTTGTGATCGCTTTTCGTCCGTCCGTCCGTAAACTTTTACTTTAAATGACATCTCCTCATAAACCACTAAGCCAATTTCAGCCAAACTTCACAGGAATGTTCCTTTGGTGGTCACCTTTAAAAATTGTTCAAAGAATTTAATTCCATGCAGAACTCTGGTTGCCATGGCAACCGAAAGAAAAAACTTTAAATATCTTCTTTTAAAAAACCCAAAGAGGTATAGCTTAGATATTTGGCATGAAGCATCTTCTAGTGAGTGTCTATCAAGTTTGTTCAAATAAAAGCCCTGGGGTCAAAATTGGCCCCGCCCCAGAGGTTCATTGATTTTCCCTATATGCATATAGTAAAAACTTACAAAATCTTCTTTTAAAGAACCCAAAGAGCTAGAGCTAAGATATTTCGCATGAAACATCTTCTAATGAGTGTCTACCAAGTTTGTTCAAATAAAAGCCCTGGGTCCAAAATTGGTCCCGCCCCAGGGGGGGGGTCATTGATTTTCCCGATATGCATATAGTAAAAACTTAAAAAATCTTCTTTTAAAGAACTCAAAGAGCTAGAGCTAAGATATTTAGCATGAAACATGTTCTAATGGGTGTCTACCAAGTTTGTTCAAATAAATGCCCTGGGGTCAAAATTGGCCCCGCCCCCGGGGTCATTGATTTTCCTTATATGTGTATAGCAAAAACTTCAAAATCTTCTATGAAAAAAACCAAATAGCTAGAGTTTAGATATAAAGCATGAAACATCTTCTAGTGAGTGTCTACAAAGTTTGTTCAAATAAAAGCCCTGGGTCAAAATTGGCCCGCCCCGGTGTCATTGATTTTCCTTATATGTGTATAGTAAGAACATAAAAATCTTCTTTTAAAAAACCCAATGAGCTAGAGCTTAGATATGTAGCATGAAACATCTTCTTATGGGTGTCTACCAAGTTTGGTCAAATAAAAGCCCTTGGGGGGGGGGGGGGGGCAGGTCATTGTTTTTCATTATATGTGTGTAGTAAAAACTAAACATCATGAAACATCTTCTAATGGGTGTCTTCCGAGTTTGTTCAAATAAAAGCCCTGGGGTTTAAACTGGCCCCGCTCCGGGGGGCATCTATACAGGTGAGCGACCTCAGGGCCATCATGGCCCTCTTGTTGTTGTATATACTTCAAGATATCTATTAAAATGAATTTGTTTAGCAGTAGGTACATTGTAATAGCATAATCCATTGAAAACTACTAAGTAGGCTTGATTTAAATGAAAAGAAATCTATATCTTTCATTAGTAAAAGTTACACTTAAAATATAATAGAAGATATTCAATATAAATGGAAAGAAAAATCGAAAGTCTTGTTTATTCTTAATCATAGAAAGAAAACGAAAAGTACTGAGTATATGATATTTTATGAGAAATTGAGAAAGGGAGTAAAATTAAAACTGAAAAAGCAAAGGATTTTCAAATTCCAAAAAGTATGCTCTCGGGTATTGTGTCTAAAATAGAAATAAATGACTAATTTTTCTTAATCAAATGCTCTTGAAAATGGCAGACGTTGGTAACCAATCAGTTCGTTATATGTTAATCTGTTCGCTATAAAAACTCCTGATACAAGGAACTATTTCGCTATATGCTTACAAGGAACTCCGGATATAAGGAACAGATTTTGAATGTCCCGATGAGTTCGTTATAAGCGGAGTTTACTGTATATAATGACATATATTTAGGTGTGTGGGTTTTTTTAAAAGAAAATGCAGAGCTATTGTTTCAACACATGTGACATTATATATTTATTTTTCAGGTGCCTGTAACTTTACATTACTTTAGAAGAAACATGCACATATATTTTGGTTTATAAATTTCACATTTTTACAGGTACAAATGTATGATAATGTGTATATTTCATGGTTGTGTATATATTTTTTTTAGGTACGAGAGAAATTATTAGAAAAACAACAAAATATTGAAAATAGGGACAAAGCTAGGAAACTAAGAGAACTCAGAAAATATGGTAAAAAGGTAAGAGACGTGTGAAAAATGTGTTTTTAAAACTTTTGAAAACTAGCATTTGGCTGGTAGATTCGACAGATAAAAATACACTTAAGGCATATTTGATTGTGCTTTTCCAATATTTTCCATCCATTAATATGTTTTTATTAGTGTTATCTGTGTTAAATAAGGTTAGTCCGTGGCTGAGTGGTTAAGGTAAGGTCGTGGATTTCAAATTACTTTCTTTGCACCTTTGTAGGTTGGCATCCTGCCAGGGACTTTGGATCCTTTCATGTGAGGAAGCTATCAAGCTAGCTTATAGCCTTTCAGTGGTTCTACTCAGGTCTTTCTGAATCTCCACCAGTAAAGTTAGAAAGTCACCACTTGACCTTTACAGTGTTGATGACATGTAAACTTTACAGTTCATGTTAGACTGTACATACATGTATATGTAGGTATACAGTATACATAAACTAATAGATCAATTCTTATTTCAGGTACAGCAAGATGTCTTACTTAAACGACAAAAAGAAAAGAGAGAAATGTTGGATGCTGTTAAAAAATTTAGAAAAGGTATATTTATTATTATGTGTACAGATATGGTAGGATTCTATGCGCTCATTTTCAAAGTATGTCACCCAGTTGTCAAGGATACTGACTATGACTCATTTGGCTAACCATGTTGTCAGTACTTATCCTGTTTGCCATGTCAATATAACTACAAGTTGACCGCCTTTGTGGTCAAGGGGTTAGAGTCGATGACTTCTAATCCAGTTACCTCTCTGGCGTGGGTTCGATCCCTGGGAGATGCTTTGGTAGTTTAGTGCAGAGGAAGGTAGTCTAGAACTGGTGTAACTCTCCAGGAATGATGGATAGGAAACTACCCGCCTATATGACTGAAATACTGTTAGAAAAAGGCGTAAAATGAAATAAACAAACAAACTACAAGTTAGAGATTTATCCTGCACACAGAAGACTTGTGTTTCTATGTAGGTGCATGCCTGTGCCTGAAACCTTGATATAGGCCTTTTAGCCACATGTTTGTATGACTCGACCAAAAAAGAGAAACACAATTATTTACAACTTAAAGATATGATTGAAGTAAAAATAAGTCTTAGACACAGAAATAATTTTAAGAGGAAAAAGAAAATAAACTGGATTTAATTGAGACTGTTTATTATAATTTGATGGTTTGTATATCATGAATTAAATAACCCAAGGTGGTTAAATAAAATTTGAGGATTTTCTTTTACCTTTAAAAAAACTTATGATTTCAGGCCAGAAAAATAAGTTAGACTTTTTAGATGATAAAGACAAAGGGAACAAAAACAAAGGTCAGAAACGAGAAGTACAAGACAAAAACCATCAGTAAGTTATTATAACAGTGTGAATCATGTTTCAAGGCATATTTTTTCACATTTAGTGAAGGACTGCAGAAAGTATCCTAATCTGAAACCTGCCATTAAACTTGAAAATAAAAGAATAATTTTGATTCAATATGTTTGATTAAATTTGAATGATTTGTGAGAAACTCGTTTAAATAATGTGACAAAACAGACATAAGTATTTGATATAGCTTGAAAATTATTTCTAAGAAGGAAAATTTTTTCTTTAGTTGCATGTTTTATGCATAGATGTGTTTTCTATCAGAACCAGACAAGAATATGAGTACCGCTAGTTATTTGATATCAAGATTTATCTGTTATTTTCTCTTCGGGATAAAAATGTTGGTTAATTCTAAAAAGCTTTAGCTTGACTAAAACTGTCTTGATTGAAAGCTCTTTTTGTGTATCTGTCATGCGTTGCTTTAAACCAAATACCAGAATAAATAATTTGTATTATTAAAAAATTCCAACATTATTATTTTATTAACAGTAATGTAGTTATCTCTATTTATTCAGGAAATTTAATGTACATTATAACTTTACATTTCATCTTAATGTAAGGAATTCTAAACTGAATGACTGCAGTAATTGAATGTTCTTTTTTGGCAATTGGTAAATGACACTCTGTATTAAATAATGCAACTTTTATTGACAACCATGATTTTCATATATAATGAAACACAATTTTAAAAAATTGTCACCTGTAATATTTTCAGACCAAACAAGAAAAGACAGTATAAGAACCAGAAGTATGGTTTTGGGGGTCAAAAGAAAAGAAGTAAATTAAACACGAAGGAATCATCTGGAGATATGTCATCATTTAACGTCAAAGTCAATCAAGGTCGACCAGGGTTCAACAAAAGTAACAAGGTATATTAATTTCAAATTCTCCAATTCAGGTCATGAGTCATTATGAAGATGGAGCTTCTTTGTTTAGCACGCAACATTATTAAAGGGCCTACCTGATATGAGCCGCGTCACAACAAAACCAACATAATGGGTGTGACCAGCATGGATTCAGACCAGCCTGCGTATCCGCGCAGACTGATCAGGATCCATGCTGTTCGCTATTAGTTTCTCTACTTGTAATAGGGTTGGTAAGCGAACAGCATGGATCCTGATCAGACTGCGCGGATGCGCAGGCTGGTCTGGATCCAAGCTGGTCTCAAACCCATTATATTGGTTTTGTCGTGACGCGGCTCATGTAAAAAATGTCTGTGGCAAAGTCCCACAATGAAATATTTGTTCAGAAAGTTGGTATGCAACTGACTTGTGTTGATGCATGTTGATTCTAAGACAACGCAAGACAACTGGTGAACCTTTCACATAAACAACAGGAACCATAGAACCAACATGCATTCACATAAGATGGTGTTAGAGTTTTAAAATCCTCACATAAACAACAGGAACCATAGAACCAACATGCATTCACATAAGATGGTGTTAGAGTTTTAAAATCCTAAGGTTTTTTGACATGCTATTAAACCAGCAATGCCAGGTTTTTGTCTTGCATGAGCACAATACTTTGTAAAGGCAAAGCAGGACTTTTTCCAAAATTTTAGTTGTACACTTTTCCACCTTCATGTTCCTGTTTTAAATGTGGTATAACCAAAGCTTAAGTAAGCTCAATTGTGCATATTGTTACAAGTAGCCTCATTTGCATGTATAATTGCATATCTTTATTGGTGCAACTGTTTTGCTGAAAAAAAATTGTTCAAATCTTTCTTTGTTTTCAGGGCAATAAGAATAAAGGCAACAAGAGGCCAGGGAAGTCTCAGAGAACTAAAATGAAAAGTAAACGGCATTAAAATTTGTATTATTATGTATATACTTCTAATAAATTTGTTAAAAAACAGTATTGCATTTTTAGTTGACTGGAACATAATTTATAGTAGTGAGTTATAGTGATCATTCACTGTCTGTCAGTTAAAATATCTCTCCAACAGCATCTCAAACTTTTGGGTCAATTTGCTCTCACAATGTTAGGTTCACATGCTTTATTTCATATAGCTGAGGGGTTGTCTTTAAGGGTTAAGACATCAGAATTGCAGCCAACGCTTTTATCCCTTTGTGATCATAAGAGGCGACTAAATGGGTTTCAAAAAACTGGCCTCAAGGTTATAAATAAAATTCCTGAGTTTGGTCTCAAAACTCAAGATTTTCATTGGTCACTGTACATTCTGTGGCAGTTTCTGACCAATCAAATACCTGAGTTTGAGCTTAGAGAATTTCTTTATAACCTTGTACTCTGGAATCTATTCATCCCATAGCTCAAGTAGGTATTGGTAATGTGGTTTCCTTTAAGTTTGAAACACTTGAGGTCAGCCAAAATCATCTGTCCTGTTTCAGCTCTATATGACACAAATTATAATGTTGGTATGCCGTAAAACCAAACAAAACAAACAATTTTATATTATCATATGATGACAGACAGATAGCTTATTGCAAGCTATTGTTTCTTCTCTAATGGCCCACTTTTTTATTAAAATTATGCAAAGTGGGGCACTTGATTGTCTTCTTCAACCAGTACAGGAACATACATTATAAACCAACTTTTCTGGCAGTACTTCTAAAAATAATCATGTGTCTTGGACAGTGTGGGTGTGCCATAAAATAAGCCATAGTTAAAATGTGATGACAACAGAGCATTTTATGACTATACAAAATAGTTGGGATAATCTTACTTGTCTTGCCATTAGTTATAGCTCTACTTTCAGCCTCTAATGTTATCAACCACAAGTTTTCACATAACATCTTCAGGGTCAGAATTGTCGATCTTAATCCAGTCCCGTTACTCGGATGGATTTGGACTGGGTAAAGTTTTGAATGTAAACTATGTTGTATTTTCACAACCTTTGATTGAAACTTCTGATCTTTATCATCATAGGGTTAGACAGTCATAATTTAAATCACACCTTGAAATTGAACTCAACAACAACAGATTTACATTTATTCACTTTTTAATATGTCATTAAATATGAAAATTAACAAAGACATAAACAGTAAAGTTATAATTTTCAAGCAATGCTGTGTCCAGGTATAATTAAGTCAACTAATAGAGATGTTAGTATTTAACAATGAAACAAATTGAATTTTCATAGAATAATTCATTATTGTCTTCTTACCTTTAATGTTAGAAACGAGCCAAATTTCATTCAGAAGTTGACCGTTGTCCTCTGTATAAACTTAACAATATGAAGATTTTAATAAAAAAATTTTTTTTTACATGAAATAGTTGACTTTGTTGAATGTATTCTCTGTCATGTAGAACAAGTGCACATAACAATATTGCCATAATTATTTTTTCAATATTTACCCAGTTACAATAGTGTTACATTAAATACTTGATAGGAAGATACAACAGGTAAATAAAAAGTTTTTCAAATAACAAATGATACACTAATCTTACTAAAAGTATGATCTATGCTTATTGTACGCACACACACAACGCAATAACCTGTGGAATAACACAAACACAACATTTTAGTGAATGGATGAAAATGGCATAAACTATCTGTCTCCAGTGTACAGAATTATTTTAACTTTTTTTTTTTTCATTACTTTTTTTTTCAGCTTTAACATACATTTAAGTAATACCAATAAATAAGACTTGTAATATATCTTGGAAAAAAAAAAATTTCTACCATCTTAAATATTTTTTTTTTTCATACATTTTTACCCTATATTTTATCCAATACCTGGACATTCTTTTATGGTAAATGCTGTAACCGTAACTGTTGGGATATAGAATCAGTCACCTATGACTCTTAAGACATTATTTGAAATTGTACATTGACAATATTGTGACTTCTAACAAAATGGTAGTTGTGAAAAATTAAACAAAGCCGTCATATTCATTGTGACTCGTATGTCAGCTTTTTTTTCAATCTTCCAAGTTTACAAATTTAACATTAATAGGTACATAAGATTTAAACATGCATGATATTTTGGCTGCAAATAATAAACAATTTATGTTATCACAGATGTATTGTATAAAGAATATGATAAAAGAAAATGCTATAACTATCTATCACATCAGTTCAAATTCTCTGTTTGTTCCTTTACTCGCCAAGCAGCATCCATGTATTTTGTTATTGGAGTGTTCTGTCTGAAAAATTGCAGTCTTTTGTCATTTCTATCTATATCAATCTGAAAGGAAATAAATAAGAAACATTATGTCATGCTTGTTTTCTCATAGTGGGTATAATCTAATAAGAATCTTGCACCAGATGTCTGAAACAGATAAGAAAATCTGGCTCAAGGATAAAGCCAAAGGTGTAATGAGACTATCAGATTATGTTGATATGTTCTGGATAGACAGGAAGTACTAGATCAAAATACTCTTTATAAAAACTTGTTTATTATCTTCCTTGATTAAAGCTATATATTCTGATTCATTAGCCAGTGGTATAGCTTGCACAAAAATCTTGTGTATTCACAAATTACTTGACTAGGGGAGTCCCAGCACATACACCCACAAAAATTTAATACAATGTAGTACAAATGTAGCTTTTTAGAGGGTTCTAAAGTGTTTTATTTAAAGTTCTAAAGTGCTTTATTTATAACCAAATATTGAGAGTTTGAAGACAAAATCACTAAATGTAAAGTTTATTTAACATATTTGTAATTTTTTTTCTGAAATAGCAGTTAAGTCCCAATGAATAAACTCTTCATTGCATTAGTGAGATTTTTCCAAAACTTTGTAAAACAGGAATACCATACTTCGAAGACCATATTTTGCTAACTTAGTAGATGTTTCACAAAAGACAATTTATATTTCAATTCTACAAACTACTTACGGTGTGTACTTACAGTGTGTAAATAGGGGTGGGGGGGGGGGGGGGGGGGGGGGGTAGGATATGTACATTACAGTATTTTCTTAAAAAACAATCTTACTGACTAATAACTATGTAAGAAAATTACATGAAATTGGCAAAGAGAATATATAATGGCAAAACTATATTGCTCATATTCCTGTTTGTGATGACAGTTGGTGTTTGATTCTTTATGATTCATATTCCTTAAAAACTTGCTCAATTTCATCATTGTATGTAATATAATATTAGAATCTCTTATTTTACTAAAAACTATGTTTCTCCATAGTTAAATACAGACTATTTACGAAATTTTCCAAAATTATACAAGATTTCAACAAAGTAGGTAAATAATAACTTACAAGAGGTCTGGTGATCCATCCAACTTCCTGGGACTCTGTCTGTGGATAAGTGTACTTCTTTACAGGTTCTAAATTTGCTCTTGATATTACTTTCTTAAAATGCTCTGAAAATTAAAAAAAAAAATATTGTTAGGAGTATCAGACTTTTTGCAACATAAATTAAAGATTACATTAAAAATAGAACACGGAAAAAAAAATTACTGTAGAACTAACTTTTGTTTAGAATTGGTTGTGTTCAATTCAACATACATACAAAACAAAATTAATTTGAGCACTTTAAAGATATTAAAATGATTAAATGCAGTGGCATCAATGTTTATCAAGCAATAAACTAATTATAGTAAATGTCAAAGGTAAAGCTGATGATTATTAAAAAAAAAAAATTAAATGTTTTGTAATTTACGTTGAGACTTTTATCAATATAAAGAATTCAAATAATTGAGATATAAACAGATTATTGCTCACCATCTTCTTCTCCCTCTTCTGTGTCATGGGAAGAATTTGGTTTACCAGTAATTACATGAACTGAAATAAAAATGAATAAATTCATAAATAGCTAAATAATAAACTGGAAGATATAAAATTTGATAAAGCTTTTGCAGTAGAGTGGTCTCACCGACACTGTCACTCAGTGTAGACCAATTCTCAGCGTAAAACATTATGATTTTAAGAATATCTTACCTAATAAAAACACACAGAATGAAATATTTTACTTTCACTTTATTATATTTAAAATCTTTCTATCTTCCATTAATGTCAAACCCCTCGTGGGGAAATAGACCTTTATTATATTATCTTTCTATCTTACATTAATGTCAAACCCCTTTCCGGGCATACCAGTAGACATGTATACTTTCATTTAAAATTTTATTATTCATTAAACTTTCTACATCAGCATGTGATGCTACCACAACTGACAGAAGGGGAGTAATTTTTAGTCTAGCAGATAAAACAGAGGCATTTTGGCTGCTAAACAGGCACAGATGTGGGCAGATGTGGGCAAATTTATATTACTTATTTAACATTTTTGGTTTATACAGAATTTATTTTAGTTTGATTGTGTAGGAAGCTATTAGCTTATAGACACACTTTTGAATTCATTCCTGGAACCAACCAGTACTGAGCAATGAGTGTAAAGTTTCTTGCTCAAGGAAACAACAACTTGCCCCTGACGGGGTGTTTTAAAGAATGTTGAAAATTTTGAGTGGTTTCAGTTGAAACTTTTACAAATAATTTTTATCTACACAAAGTCCAAATAGAAGGCCTACATTGGTTTTGTTAAATCATAACCACAGTGCATACTCATTTTACTTGTTCTATTTATAGCGCAAACACAGTAGAGCTTCATGCTTTTTTCTAAATGCATAGATAACTTACAAACAGAAGCACTTACTTCCATAAGATACATTATCAATAACTGTTTTCTCATAACATTTGTTAGGATTTGTGCCAAGCATTGGTCAAACCACTCTTATTAAATAATTAAGAAGTCAACTAAACATTATTATATTATTAATGTATGCCATTAAATTTAAAGGAAATGTAAAGTTGAAAAATTATAATAGTATATATAAAACAGCTTATAGATCTTCTTTTCTTAAACAGTAATCCTGAAAAAATACTTGGCAATGAAAAGAAAGAGGTTTCTGAACTATGCCAATCTCGTACAATAGTTTGGATTTGTGATAGCTGTATTGACATGCTGGCCAGGCCCAAAAGGTAAGTATCTCAAAGCAATATCATATTTATAGGACTATATTACAGTCCAATTAATTGTACTCCATGTTGAAACAATTAATTGTCCAATAACGGCAATAGTCTAGATAGTCCAAAATTTTACTGTCTGGAGAATGATTTAGAGTACGTGTTATTTCTAAAAGTCTTGTATTGCATTTCACATATAAAATCCTAAGAACGTTGCATTTTAAGTAACACAATTTGCTGATATAATCTCAGCAACCCTTAGTCAAACATGTAAAACAAAAAGTAAACCTGAAAAAAAATCAACTCACTTTTCTTGAATGGATTTACGCTATAATTTGTGTATAACTTTGAAGTTCTTTGTTCCTTATGAATAGTTTCACATAATATTGCATTTTGATGAACAAAATTTGGAGGCTCCTTTTCTTGTTTCGACATAATTTACAATTTTCTATGACGGATAGTGTTTACTTCCGTAATATCCGGATTAGTGTACACGTTGTTAAGGTCGTTGTTAGGGGTACCAGTCTGCTTTATCCACCACAAAGATGTGAAACTTGCGAAAAGTTATAGATTCTGCAACACAATTATCATGGTTTTCTGTTTGTTACTTTGGACGGACTCAATTGGTTATAAAATTATTGGTGAAGTCAATCTGTCCATAGACCGCTAAATTTCAAAAGTCTTGATTTGATAAACCAAGTTCGTATATATCTGTTGGTTTCAATCAGTTATCTGTCTTTGTTTACATAGTTGTCACTTTATCCGCGCTTTATGATACATGTATTCATGCACTTTTCGTGATCGACAGTTCTTTACAGTACGAGTCATATCGTTTAGAATTTTTTCCGCCTTGTGCTTATTGATGATATTGTTTTATATTTTGTTGTTGTTGTTGTTACCTGATTTTCTGTTTGTTTGTCACCTGCGGATTGTGGCATAATTTAGTTTATTACCTTAATTTGTTTCTATTGACTATAGATATTTAAACACAGGTTCATCTGTATTAGCTATAAATTTCAGTATTGAACTCGATTGACCCTTATTTTGTTATTATTATATATCACAGAGTTTTTATTCAAAGATTATTTTAACATACATGTACTTCTTGGCAACTGTCTTCAGCTTTGTTAAAATTTAACAGTGGCGGATTCAGGCCCGGGCTTCAGGGCTGCAGCCCCCCCCCCCAGCTCGGCCCAAAGATACGTTTACCAGCTGGGCTGGAATATATTTTATCAGTTTCAAACTTTATTGACTGTAGTGTACTCCCAATATTTATTGCTGTTATCCAGTTGTTAATCTCCTGCCTGGGGGCTTGGCAGAGATCTTTATCTATCAATATGCTTGAATGACTTCAATTTAAACTGCATAATTGATTGGTAGGTCTAATGCAATTAATATCACAGATAGTGGCAAATAAATGTGTTACATTGTACACTATACATATTTTACCATCTTAGTTTTTCCATTTTCTTTGCGAAAGCCCTATAATTAAGAAATTGAAAATTGTTATTTGTAAATTAAAAACATGGCGAGTTTTATGAAGATAATATTAAAGGAATTGCATTTTAATTACTAGTTTTACTAAGATTTTTATCAAGATGAAATGATTGGTCATTTATATTTAATAACTTTTTATGACAGTTATATTTTTTAAATAAAATTTAAATTGTAGTGACCTCTGGATTCATTGATGGAAAAAATTCTTATTGAATATTTGTGTTTGAAATTATGTCTTTTTGTACAATAGAAAAACAGTATTTTAATAACACTTTAATCATTCATATCAGAAAATTGATCAAGTATTTGAAATTATTTTTATCAACGGTCGTGCATACATTGGTAATTAAGTGTGCTGTTATTTTGTAAATGCTACTACTAAACACCAGAGGAATTCTATTTGAAAGACCTTGCAAACAAAATATAATTTGATGTTAAATTATCCAAAAGGTACCATAAACAGCACAAGAAAGTCAAGGAAATAACACCATTTACAACCTCATATTTCAAAAAATTTCTCAGTCTATGGGAGGGGACACCCCTCCCAGGCCCACCCCAATTACATATATTTTTTAAATACCATTTATTACATGCTTTTCGGTGGTTTATAGAAATATATCAGTGATATAAAACTGGTAATTTCACTATTTCAAACAGTGAAATTACCACTTTGATAATTTCACTGTTTTGAATTTAAGCCCGTTACGTTGTTTCAGTGAAATACCAGCGTGCACAGTACTGGGAACCAATTTAATGACGTGACGTCGTAAATGACGTCACGTTGTATTATTATTTGGCGCGCTTTTCATTCAGTATTAGGTTTAATGTCTTTTAAAAACGTTGCTTTGCATATAATAAAAAGAAAATTTGTTAAGTTTAGTGTAAGATCGAAATATATTTCACCTTGTGAACACCAAAAGTTCATATTTCACTCGTGGCTCCGCCACTCGTGAAATATACCTTTTGGTGCTCACTCGGTGAAATATATTCCGATCTTACACTGAACTAAACAAATATCCTCTATATAATCTAAGTATTTACAATACACATGTATAAGCAAAGTACATTGCCACTCATAAGATGAGCTATAAAACATATCAATTACAATTTTTGTCACTTGAACAAGATGCTGGTCCGATCTTCAAACATGCACAATTTTCGCCTGTTGGGTAATTTTTATAAAAAAAAATGTCCACCCATATGTCAGCCCCCCAGGAAACCATGTTCTGTATCCGCCCCTGTTTAAATGTATGAATCATAAAATGCCAATTGAGGAAGGTAGATTCCAAAATATAGAGAGAAATTTACGTATATATACTTTATGTGAGTCAAACCAACTGGGTGGCGAATTTCACTTTCTCTTTTTCTCTGTTCACATTTTCTTAATAGTAGACGTAAATTTATTATAGGTATCCTAATGCATTGAATTAGGAAGATCTTATGAATAGTCAAAACAAATCACATTTAAAAAATCTTGCTTTATTTTGTAAAGAAATAATTACACCATGCTAATGATAAGTATAATGTTGTATCATTTGTCTCCTAGAAATTTTGTTAATGAAGAGTTATTATCATATCTTTATTTTATTTTATTTTATTGGTTCAATATAATTGTCATTCATTCTCCTGTTTTTATGTATATTTTTCTCTGTTTCGGTGGTTACATGTTCACAATTTTGTATTTTATGTCACATATTCTTATGAACCTTGACATAATTGAATAAATCTTGAAATCAGATAAAAGCAAAAAGAGGGCTAATTTGCGTGTTATATCTTATTAATTCTTTTACTGAGTTATGAAGTCTATAAAATAGTATTGGCTCCATTTGACAGCTATGAGGATCAATGTCTGCTGAATAATTAGACAGGTTATAGTTATATCTACTGCAATCGTTTCACCTCGACGATTATTCATAACAATCCTAAATTTGACGTAAATGGCCTAGAAGATACGATTGTATCTACTGGAGGAGAATGAAAGCTCCGGGATAACATGACCATGAAATGCATTAATAGTATCCATCACAGAGTACTACCACAATCATGGAAACAAATGATATATTATCTTATGGTTTAGAAATTTTGAACCTTTTTGTATGTACACTTGCTGGTTATGTTTGTAAAATAGTTGAATTGTACATTGTATTAATAATTATACAATAAAATATTATCAAATTTAACTTTTATCCCGTTCCTGTTTGAACACCCTATGGTGTTCAAACACCATATGGTCATATGTTCCTAAATGCTGTCATGGCATGACACTTCTTATTGTTAATGTTTATGATGGTCGTAAATTAAAAGTAATAGTAACAGAACAATAAGCTTCCAATTTAGGTCTGCTTATTTACTTTGGTACTATGTTATGTAATCCATAATTAAATACTGTGGCTATGTAAGTGTTATAGGATAATTCTTTCATTTTATTATCTATTTTTGAATTTCTAACAAACAGGATAATATTAAATACAAGATTTATTTCAAATTTTGATCCAATTACACACGTCGTCTTTTTTTTAATAAATGGCCAATTTATTGATGTAAACGGGGATAAATGAAAACAATATTCTAGGTGATGGTTTAAACATCTGCTGATGTTTCAAAATTCAAAATTGTACCAGTTCATGTTAAATGTTGAATTCTGCTTAAGCCGGTGCTAGGGGGCGTGGACAGTAGTTTGCACTTTACAGTACCGTCCATGAACAGGCTCAATCAAACCGAGCCTGCAACATTTTCAATTTGGCCGTGTTGGGGCTTTTTTTAGGGATTCTTATTTTCTCTATTTTAAACATATATTATTCAGAATATGAATACATGTGTAAGTAACAACATTACAATAAATATAGATATTGGCTAAAACCAAGAACTTATATAAGTCATTATCTAACAATAAAAAATCTTCAATGTCAGTGGTGGTTGTAATTAACAAGTTACCAGAATTAAACACATTTGATAATGCAAGATTGAAAAGAAATAATTTTAATGTTAAGGGCAATATTTAGAAAGTTTTGATTAAAAAAGATAAAGATAACGACAAAAAAACAAAGATGAATGTAAGCAGCATGGCAGTAGCAATCAGACATTATATAAATGTTTTCGTAGAATCAATATAAAGGTAAACACACAGCTCTACGTTTTGGTTATTTGAAAGGCTATTAGAACCAGGTTTTCATCATACAAAACAAACCCACAAACAAAATATAAGAGAGAGAGAGAGAGAGAGAGAGAGATAAAATATTACACATTTCATCGAATTCATATTTATATATTATAATTTCGCTATAAAATTATCGATTACACTGTCTACTAAAAAGCATGTAATATCTATTACTAGTATTCTCAAAGGTGCTAGTGGCATTGATTTGACCTAAAATGTGTTTAACCTGGTCATTTATGCAATAAAATATCAATTTATTAAAAAGAAATAATTTTTTTTTTTTTACTGTTATATTATTATAGACAGTCTATAATAATAGAACAGTAAAAAAAAAAATATTTTTTTATTTCTTTTTAATATATTGATATTTTATTGCATAAATGACAAGGTTAAACACATTTTAGGTCAAATCAATGCCACTAGCACCTTTGTCCAGTAGTAAAGAAATTACCAAAATAACTTAATATAGATATGCCCCTGTAATTATCATTACATCTCCTGCATTTACATCACCCTTATTTGTATGCAATGGTAAAATCAATCCTTTACTCCATATCTCTGGGAAGATACCAGATTCAAGAATAATGTTAAACAATTTGCAAAACATAGGAAGCAAAACAACTGAAGAATTTTTGAAAGACTCATTCAAAATGTTGTCAAAAACTGACGACGATTTACCATTCTTTCAAAGACATCGCTTTTGAGTAATAATTTAGCTTTGGTGTCATTAAAACTAAACCAGTTAAACAATTTGAACGTTAATTTTTTTCCATAAGTACAAAATTATGGATAAAATTTTTATTCATTTACTTTCTTTGAAGCACATTAGCGCATAAGCATTTTTATTTTTAACAAAAAGCGAAAATAAAAAACTTTGTTTATGTTTTTCCCGTCATGCTTCAGTAGACGCCATTTTGAACAGAAAGTCCGATAACCGTCACAAAATCTGTTGTTATTTTTGGATTATTTTTAAGGTCAGGGTAAAACAAAGCAAATACGACATTTTTTCTGGATTTATTACTAAACAGGATCTTAATGTATAAAAATTCTTAACTCTGTAAAGCTCAGCTCTTTAGAATCTCCTCAATAATATGTTTCTCTTTGTTAAAGAGTGGGTGGAGTAAGATTTTTATTCGTCTGAACCTGTCCAGATTGCTGATCCTCGTAATCGCCATATGATATTCATTCTAAAATAGTATTTGTCCTCTGTATTAAATGAAGTAATGATTATACAATGATGTATGTCTTAAGAATAAAGCCACACTTAAGATAAATGAATATGTGTCAGGTCTTTTTGTCCTGTTTGTGAATCTGTGATGCTTATAGTGCTGTAGTGACAGTTAATCTTTTGTTCCTTTCTCACATTTTGCTATAATGTATATTCTATTTTTTGAAACACCACAGTTTACATACCTTAAAGACTTGCAGGCTTGTGGAAGCTTTGTAAAATCTTGTTTGAAATGCATTTTATCCAGAAAATTATGTAGAATTAGTTAATTGATAATTTATGATTCACCCCACTGACGATTCACCCAATAATAATTTGCCCCAGATTAGGGACAATTTGCCTCACTTCAAAATAATTATCTGAAATTTACTTTAAATTAACAATATTAAGACATGTTGTGATTAAATGTATGTTTTGTTATATTTAATTTGTCATGGTTCAGAACTGTTCACTTAATATAATAGGGGAGAAGATGTGTAAGCAGCCGGATAGCTCAGTCGGTAGAGCCTCGGAACGGTATTCCGAGGGTCCTGGGTTCGAGTCCTGGTCAGGCTGAGCATTTATCTCACCCTGTGACATTTGGCACCCAAGGTGGGGCCGTGACTGATATAGCTCAGTGTTTAATTTACATTGATCTGAAACTCTGTGAAATTCGAGGACAAATTTCAATATAGCCGGGGAGTCAGGGTTCAGAACTGTTCACTTAATAGAGGAGAAGATGTGTAAGTGGCCCGATAGCTCAGTCAGTAGAGTCGCTGAACGGTATTCCGAGGGTCCCGGGTTCGAGTCCCGATCAGACTGCACATTTTTCTCACCCTGTGACAAATTTGTTAATTCAACTGTTCCCTTTAATTATCTTGATGAACAGAAATTCATGGTCAGTTTTTACTTTTGGATTATCCATTTTAAAATGGACAACAATTCATCTTAGGTCAGTGATGATTGCTTTCACTTCACTATAATCATCGGTGATATATCAATATATTATAAAGTGCTCAGTCAAGTTATTGATCTTGGTTTTGTATAATGTCCTTTAAATGCTTAGATTTTTTAGTTTGATTTATAATAAGTTGATTTCTGTTATCTATTATTTTTCACTTTTAGTTGAAAAGATGAGAAAAAATATTCAGAGATGAGATGTGACAGTATCCCATAAAGATTGAACAATTGTTCATGAAAAGATGGACCCAGAATATGAAAAACGTCTCCTCCGTCAACAAAATGGATCTCCATATTCTTCTGTAAGTAAAAACTGTCAAGTGTTGTTTCTTTTCTTAGTTTCTTTTCTTAAAAAATTCTTTATGTAAAGTCTATGATTTAATTGCATTAATTAATGAAAGTAATAAAGGTTAAATAGCTTTGTTCTTATGTTAAATATATTAAAGACAGTACATTTGTAAATGTTACTGTTTAATATGTATGAATTAAATGCATTTAACATAAGATTGCACGCAGGGGCAAATGTCTATGTTTTAGTTGTTTTAATCTATAAAGTATAATGTTTATTATCTGGTCGTATCAAAATACCAAGGTAACTCCTTTTAGATTATCAATGAAAATAAGAGGCATACAAACATATATATAATAAATACCACATTGCCACTGGTCTGTTGTCAGTGAGTACTACAGATCAATGTCAGCTAGCTTATCTTCTACTTATTCTTGAAATTTGAAATAGACAGTTTCAGAATCATTGTACATGACAGGCAGGAAATTTTACCCAGAAGCTGGGAAGAGAGAAAAATTTTAGCATAATTTATTTTGTTTAACTTTCTTTATCATCATCTTATAATTAGTTAATTTGTTGAATATTTAATTTCAGCCGTTGTCATTGAGTCCGGGCAGTCCACTTTCCTCACCCAGTAAAGACAAGTACGGGGATAGATTTATACCAGCCAGAGCTGGAGCTGCATGGCACATCAACTTTAATTTGAACTCAGTAAGCTAGAATTTAGAAATGTGTATTATAGTTTATTCACTAAACAGTAAACTTATAAGAATGGTCCTACAAGCTGCATAATAATAACCTATATGAAGTCAATTATCTTGATGCATACAGTTTTTTAGAGGCCAGTCTTAGTGTATGGGTCCAGGAGTGTATGGGCCCAGGACCTTTGAATTGTAAAAATAAGCTCTGTAATGCAAATTAATTGTAAATACAGTCCTGTTTTATACTGTTTGTATTTATCTGTTTATGGGGGGGGGGTAAATTATGTGTTGGATTATGATAAACACCTACCTAAACAATTTGTAATAGTTTAATGTCTCTGTTTCTCATAATTTTAAATCATTGACAATTTTGTTAATAACTACAGTTTGACAATTGTGACTTTATATTAACAATAGTGAAAAAAAAGAAGATACTTTTCAGCTTTGTAAATGGACCTTATTAAAGTTATTTGGCTCCAAAACTGCGTTAAAACACTGGATTCCAAAGAGTAACTCTTGTCTTGCCTCTAGTATCTGTACATTTTCTTATTGAGGTTGTCTTTTCATTTAAACTACTTTAATTTCTTCCATCTGTCAAATAATTGGTCCTTTTGCATTTTTAAATTTTATGAAAGAAAATAACAACATTTTATCATTTTACAGGAAAGTCCTCGTCAGTCACCTGTTGCCAATAGAAAAGCTCGGGAAATAGCAGCAGATCAAGGAAAAGATGGTTTGGCTTACAATTGTTTGTTGAAAAATGAGCTTCTCTCTGCAGGCATTGAGGATTTAAAGGTAAGATTCTATGTCTGTTATCGTGTTTTTAGCACCACTGTTCAAAGAATATGGAGAGCTACATGTATTGTACTCACCCAGGTGTTGTTGTCACCATCACACTTAGGTTAAGTATGTATCACCAAAACTACTGAAGAGAATGAGTTGAAACTTCTCACACTTGTTCTCTGTGATTATCTTCTATGATGGGCATAGGTTCCATAACTATGAAAAACCATTATACAGAGTTTTTTCGAGCACACTGCTCTGGTTTTTAGTCTACATAGGCTTTTCAAGGCAATGATAGCTTTTGCTTCCATAAAACCTTTCAGTGACTTGTATATCCTTTGACTTGATTTTTCAAGACTGGTTTATCAGAATATTGCAGATGAAATTCTCGAAAAATGTATGATAAATTGAGCCAAGTTTATATTGATACAGTACATTAGTATAGTCTTCATAACAAATTATGTTGTTTCTCTTACAGGATCAGCATCCAGATGAAAGAAGGATTCTTGTTCCTAAAGAAAGCAGGAATTTATTTAGAGTAAGTATATGTCTTTCATAAATGTTTATTGAATTTCATGTCTTATATTACCTTTAAATTGTCTGGAATGCATAGGATTTTATTCACTCTTTTTACGAACATTTTTTGCTATCCTTAAAACCTCTTTTTCTCTGCATTCAGTATTGTGTAAGAGGGCCGTAGGTTACATTGATATTGTTGAGCAGGGTTTTGAAGTAAACAGAAAGCTATATAACTATGTATGAAAGTTTCATTGGCTGTAATGTTGACCTTTTCCCACACTTTATTTATGTAATGGACTTTCCCTGCTTTGAATTTAGACCCTACCATTGATAATTCAAGGGATTTTGGTACTTTAATAATAAATTTTTAGCGGCAAATGGATATGATGACTGGCATTGCTAGCACAGTATTTTACTTCTAACGTTCAGAATACATAAACTCGTGTTTTCTATTTTATGTGATTTGGGAGTTTGACTCTTTTATCATGTCACTTATACTATGAAATTTAATGGAAGTAAATGCAAAATATATATATTTTGTTGATAATGATATGTCTGCCTATTTGGTGATTAAGCTATCTTTTAAACACAATATTTATTTTGTAGTACCATGTACCACGAAGAAGTTCAGATGCTGAATCTTCACCATATTCATTATCACCTGTAGGAAGTAAAAGCCAAAAATTGTTACGCTCACCAAGAAAGGTAAGATTCTCTTGACTTTTGGACAGGGAGAATTATATGTATGATATAAAACAAAATTATTGTTAGTTAATTATCATTTGTACTGTTCATGTGATGGATATTTGTTATAAGGCATTATAGGAGTATCTTGATTTGAATCTTGTATTGTACACAAGTGGATGTCTTGTGTTTAGACTAGCATCACATTAGGCTACATCCCTTCCAGTGAAAACCATGAGGGCCATGTACAAGATCAAGATATTATTACAATAACCCTTTCATTATATACCCCCCCCCCCCCCCCCCCCCCGGGAGGGATATATATCAAGATATATGTTTTATTCCACTTTCTTTACCTGTTTTCAAAATAAAGTAAAATATGTCTGTTTGAAAAAAGTGTTGAGCCCAAAATGGCTAAAGTGTTTTCTGCTATTTGTGTTTTAATTTATGTTAAAAGATGCCATTAGAGCCTTTAGTCTATTGGTCAGAAGATAAACTGAATGTTAACTTGTTTTATTTTTGTCTTGTAATATAGGCTGTAAGAAAAATCTCTAAGATACCGTTTAAAGTGTTAGATGCCCCGGAGCTGCAGGATGATTTCTATCTAAACTTGGTGGACTGGTCATCACAAAATGTTTTAAGTGTTGGCCTTGGAACGTGTGTGTATTTGTGGAGTGCATGTACTAGTCAGGTAATACTTTGGTAATACTGTACATTCTCATTAAAACTACCTTCTGTAGAGCTATAGCCTCTATACACCAACAGTAATGTTTCTTCCCAAAATAGCAATACACTCATTTACACTTTCGATATGAACTACGTAAATAACCAAGGTATATTGTGTGAAAAAATACTAGTTGTTTCCCTTATCTTTGAGTAAAATCGATATCTCTTATGCCAAAACAATACAAATTAGACCATTTTTGTGCCCCCACGTTAGTGGCGGGCATTTAGATTTACCCTTGTCCGTCCGTCCTTCCGTCCGTCCGTTCACTTTTGTGTCGCACATAACTCAAAAAGTATTTGACATAGAGTCATGAAACTTTACAGGAATGTTGATCAGCATGTGTAGTTGTGCACCTGGGTATTTTCGTCTGGATATTTTTAGTATTTTCAGAGTAATTGCCCTTGACTTAGTAAAATTTTGCAATTTTCAACTTGTGTCGCACGTAACTCAAAAAGTATTTGACCTAGAGTCATGAAACTTTACAGGAATGTTGATCAGCATGTGTAGTTGTGCACCTGGGTATTTTCGTCTGGATATTTTTAGTTTTTTCAGAGTTATTGCCCTTGACTTAGTAAACTTTTGCAATTTTCAACTTGTGTCGCAAGTAACTCAAAAAGTATTTGACCTAGAGTCATGAAACTTTACAGGAATGTTGATCAGCATGTGTAGTTGTGCACCTGGGTATTTTCGTCTGGATATTTTTAGTATTTTCAGAGTTATTGCCCTTGACTTAGTAAAATTTTGAAATTTTCAACTTGTGTCGCAAGTAACTCAAAAAGTATTTGACCTAGAGTCATGAAACTTTACAGGAATGTTGATCAGCATGTGTAGTTGTGCACCTGGGTATCTTCGTCTGGATATTTTTAGTATTTTCAGAGTTATTGCCCTTGAGTTAGTAAAATTTGGCAATTTTCAACATGTGTCGCACGTAACTCAAAAAGTATTTGACCTAGAGTCATGAAACTTTACAGGAATGTTGATCAGCATGTGTAGTTGTGCACCTGGGTATTTTCGTCTGGATATTTTTAGTATTTTCAGAGTTATTGTCCTTGAGTTAGTAAAATTTGGCAATTTTCAACATGTGTCACACGTAACTCAAAAAGTATTTAACCTAGAGTCATGTGCAGTTGTGTACCAGGTATTTTCGTCTGGATTTATATAGTATTTTTAGAGTTATTGCCCTACACTTAGAAAATTTTTGCAATTTTCAACTTAAGTCGCAAGTTTCTCAAAAAGGATTTGACATAGTCATTAAACCTTATGGGCAGGTTGCTCAGCATATTTTAGATTTGCACCTGGGGTTTCGCTTGTGGATTTATCCAGTATTTGTAGAGTTATTTCCCTTGACTTAGTAAAAAGATTGACAGAACAGTGGCGCGGTGGGGGCACCCGTGTCCTATGGACACATTTCTAGTTAAACCACTAGTTTTTAGCTCGACTTTTCTATGAAAAGGGGAGCTATCCTACTCGCCCCGGCGTCGGCGTCGGCGTCACACCTTGGTTAAGTTTTTCGTACCACCCCACTTTATTTCAGAAGTATTACAAGTATGGCTTTGAAACTTACCATACTTGTTCACCATCATAACCTCCATCTACAGACAAGAGTACATAACTCTGTCAAGGTTTTTGACAGAATTATGGCCCTTTTTTGACTTAGAAAGTGTATTGAGCTTGGTTAAGTTTTTTGTACCACCTCACTTTATTTCAAAACCATTGGAGGTATTGCTTTGAAACTGACCATACTTGTTTACCATCACGACCTTCATCAACAGACAAGAGGACATAACTCTGTCAAGGTTTTTGACAGAATTATGCCCCTTTTTGACTTAGAAAATACATTGAATATGGGTAAAATCCACTTATTGCCTTAACCCTTTGAGATATTGCTTTGAAACTTTTAATGCTATTTCACATCATTACCCCATCTGTACGCAAGAGAAGGTAACTCTGTCAAGGATTTGTTTTAAAAATTAAGGCCTTTTATCGACTTAGAATCTTGGTTAAGTTTTTAGTACCAGTCCACTTTTTGACTGAACTGTTTGAGATATTAATTTGAAAGTTGGAATACTTGTTTACCATCATGGTCCCAAAACATGGGCAGGAGAAGGTAATTCTGTTAAGGATTTTATTTGAATTATGGCCCTTTTTGACTTAGAAACTCAGTTAAGATTTTCATTCTTGTCCACTTGTTGACTTAACCATTTGAGATATTACTTTGGAAGTTGGAGTTCTTATGTGCCATCATGAGACCTATCTGTAAGCAAGAGAAGATAACTCTGTGAAAATGTTTCTTGATTTGTACTTAGAAATTCCTAGTTAAAGTCTTGGGTGCCCTTAACTGTCAAAGTTTTGTTTTATAGGCAAGCACTAAAAAAGTCGAGCGCGCTGTCCTTCTGACAGCTCTTGTTGTGATTTAATGTCCGATTTTGAAATTTATTACACCAATGGAAAGCTTTGGATCTTAGCTTTAATTTGAAGCATATTTATTTGTGCTTTCTTTGGTTTTAACATTTAGCCTGATGGCAGCAACTGATACACCCACTTTACCAGTGCAGACTGAGATCAGCTGGCATATTGGTGCTGTCTGATTATTATCTTCACTGTTTGTTATTCAGCCAGTAAATATTTTGGAATTTTCCCTTTTATAGGATGAACGGTTTTGTCCTGACTGAAATATGGACAAGTCTATTTAAGATATTTAGGTTTGTAAGGGTTAATCTGATGAAGATATATAATACATACTAAGAGGAAAAGCAACAGCAACAGAAACATTTATATTTACAGATTTAGTATTTCAGTTGAGATGTTATGAATTATTTTGTTATTGTTTTACTTCAGGTAACGAGACTATGTGATTTATCTGGAGATGGGGATACAGTCACATCAGTGTCTTGGGCAGAGCGGGTATGTTTATTGACATTTTATATATATATTTTTTTTCTGTTTTAAGTCAAATCAAACTTATTAAGTATGTGGCACATACTTCTTTGTCATAACTTGATTAACAGATACATGCCAAATATTATATCTACTTTCTTATCTTGCTTGTTCTGGCTAAAGAATTGAAAAAATCTTTGTAGGCTACTGCTGACTGATATATTGATAATGTTTGAAATTAATGTGGCTGAATTAGGGCCATTTTAAAACTCAGAAAATTCTACATTATCCAGGCTCTTGTTTTGCTATCGAGCATTGAGAAATTGTTGTCATACCGACAGTTCTTGTTTAAGTAGACAATCAAATGTAGCATGTGCAGTGTGAGATAAAATACCAGAAGGTTACATTTGTATAGGTATTATGTATGTAATCTTATTATACAGGGAAACCTTGTAGCAGTGGGTACCCACAAGGGATATGTACAGATCTGGGATGTTGCTGCTACCAAAAAAATCAACACATTAGAGGGACATAGTGCAAGAGTCGGTAAGTTGTTCAAACTCATCTGTTTGAATACTGCTTATTATGATTATTTTACATTTATATTATTTTTTTGGGAGACATTTTTTTGCCTATGCTGTCTGTCTGTCCGTACAAACATATAGATACTTAGGTTGCTCTGGGAACAATAGGTAACAGTAAATTTCCTTTGATGCTATTCATTCAATAATAATATATGGCTACTTTTTCTCTTACATGGCTAATAGAACAATAGAGAGAACAAAAGAATAGCCACCTAAGTACCAAACTTTGAGCATGTCTGTCCATCTGTCTGGCTTGTCTGGCCTTCACAGGTCAACTACTGGTGGGATTTCAACCAAACTTTACAGGAGTGATCAGTACACAGAATGGCTGCCAGAGCTTTAAATAGAAAAATCCAGTCCAGCTATCACTGATCAAACTGCTGGTGGGATTTCAAACTTTACAGGAGTGATCAGAACCGTACATAATTTTTTGGAGACATTTGTTTATGTGACAAAAACCCCTCTAGTTTTAATTTGTTTTTTGTTGTTGTTTTTTTTGTACTGCTTAAGGTCCTACTGTTAGTTTACAGTTTTTACTGCTAGAGGAATACCATATGTGTCTTTCCATGCATTATCTCAAGCCTAATTATGTTAATACAATGTCAGTTGTAGGATTCAAACCCTTTACAAGCTCTTGTATTATAAAAGAATTACAACATGTGAAAAAGCAACATGCATAAGAATAACAAATGCCTTACATTGTATGGACAGAAACAGGTTCAGCATAAACTTGAAGTATAAATGTCTTGAAATAGCTTTCATATTTGATTGTTGATTTTGATAGAGGATGTAAAAAATATTTTTGCCATGAAATTATGTGATGATTCTTAACCACAGTCCAAGTATATATTTTTGAATAGCTCTTGATGCCATTTTGGGATGGAAGTTTGTATAGATTAGGTATGGGTCTGCTTAAAGCATACTGGTAAAAAAAACCCCCAAAAATGACAGTTTGGTTGCTGCAAGAGATAAGTGACTCGAAACAAAGAAATAAATAGTTGTCAGTGTGTTATTGAAATAAGTACAGGGTTATTCACAAAATGCGAGTGACTTTTTAAACTTGTTAGTGATTTTATCTTACACTCATAAATTTGTGGAAGTCATTTGGTTAAACAAAAGTTTTAAGTTACATATATGTTTAACATTCTAGAAATGTAATCTTATACGTTATATACCTAATACTTTTCAGGGGCATTAGCGTGGAATTCGGATATGCTGTCATCTGGAAGTAGAGATCGACTAATTCTGCAAAGAGATATCCGTACACCATCGGTGGCACCGGAGAGAAGATTGACGGGACATAGACAGGAAGTGTGTGGACTAAAGTGGTCACCTGACCATCAACACCTAGCTTCAGGTGGTAATGATAATAAACTGTTTGTGTGGAACATGACAAGTTTGTCACCTGTTCAGACATACACGGATCATCTAGCGGCCGTGAAGGCTATAGCATGGTCCCCCCACCAGCATGGACTGTTAGCTAGTGGTGGGGGAACTGCTGATAGGTGTATACGATTCTGGAATACATTAACAGGACAACCTTTACAGAGTGTGGATACTGGGTCACAAGTGTGTAATTTAGCGTGGTCAAAGCACTCAAACGAATTGGTAAGAATTCCGTAGTTATTCTTGTACATTGTCCTCTTTTGAAAGCTTATTTGCTCTGAGATTTTTATTGTAAAAAATGATACTTATACTATAGTTTTTTTAACACAGGTAAAATGATAGGAAGATTATGGCAGATGGCTGTTTGCACTGACCTCAGAGTCAGATGTCTCCCTCTGAGCATTGAGTGTGCATTTCGGTAAATCATTTAGGTTAATACTCATAGTAAATGTCAGTATTTGTATTTTCAGGTCAATACTTTTAGGTAATGTCAATATATGTATTTTCAGGTCAGTACTCATGGGTATTCACAAAACCAGATTTTAGTGTGGAAATATCCGTCATTAGTTCAGATAGCTAAACTCACAGGTCATTCATACAGAGTATTATATCTTGTAAGTATTCTTTTTATGCTTATGATAAATTTTGATCAACAATATTATTTTCTTAAAATTTACATTATTTTGTTGTATTTATAATTTTGAGGACTGTCAGACTTTTCTAGTTTGTTTGTTAGGGGAGGCAGCTGTTTGTGTGGGAGGCGTTGGGGTTGGGGGATAATATAAATGAGCAGACAAGCCAATATATAGTGTTAGTATGATAAATCTTGTTGAAATGAAATAAAAATTGGACAGATATGGTTGATGCTGATGGAATTTTTTTTATCCGAATAGAGTCTTCTTCATCCTTCCTTCACTACATCCATAAATTACCTTACTACATGCATTGTTAGATTAGCTCTTATCAAACCAAAACAAAAGTATAATGATGCATTTGTTTATTTTGCAGGCAATGTCACCTGATGGTGAGGCCATAGTTACTGGTGCTGGGGATGAGACTCTTAGATTTTGGAATGTTTTTAGTAAAACCAGATCTACAAAGGTATTTTTTATACAATCTTTTATCACATTCAATTATTTTAATTTTCTTTCTGTTTTAGTGTCATCATTAATGAATATACTTGTTCTTTCATGGCCTTAGTGTGAGCCTTTTGTATTAGCACCATTATTTACAGTTAGATTTATTTAAATAATATGGGCTGCTAACATTGTACCACTTGCGGCATCTCTACTGTTGGTTTGAATCCCACTGAAGGCTTTGCAAAGAAGCTTTTTAGCCATGTAACTTAGTTTGGTGGTTCTTCTTTGTTGTCCACTTGAGTCTGAAATAATGCACAGAGGGGCACATTTTTGCAGTCCGACCAGGCTCTATACTTTTGACTGACTAACTTATAGTATATCAATTTTCATCTTCACATCCCAAATTAATATTGAATAGTTTCAAAAACAAAAGATGAAAAAGTTCGTTGAAGGACCAATAAGACGATGACATTATTTTTCTGCTATGTTCACTATTTTATATTTCATTCTGTTTATTCTTCCAGGAATCCAAGTCAGTGTTAAATCTCTTCACACGGATACGATAATAGTAAAACAAGTCATTTATTGTGTCAATGAAGATCTGCCAGAATTAAGCAAAAAACTGAACACTTGAACCGGTCACCACTACATTGTTCATTTATCTTTTTTATATCTTATTTGTGCAAATGATATTAGGTTTTGGAAGTGATTGAGACAGTCTTCTTGTTGTTTTCACTATCATATATTTTGGTCATTTAGTGTGATTTGATAGATGTTTAATGAGCTATATGTTGTATTTTTGGTTTTATTTAAAGGTATTTGATCATATATTATAAGTGCATGTGTGTTGGGTGTTTTATATAGTCGTAATTTAAGTATTTAATGGTAGTTGTCCTTTAATGTGTAAACGTGTATCAGTAACTTATGAAAGTTGAAAAAGGTGTGCTGTTTTTACTTTAAAGTTCCATTCTTTAATATTTTAATATGATCTTATGCATGTCTATTTTTACCCACTTTGGCTAAAAATTTAAAAAAAAAGATTATATTTGAATTTTAAAACATTTTGACCCAGTATTAATACCATTACAATTTTAAGACACCGACATTTTTTCTCCTTTTTACAAGTATTTAACAAATTATGTTATAAAAGTTGAGTGTAAATGATTTTTGTTGCACACATTCAATATTGTTAGTTAACTGCTGCAGGTTTTGATAATATGTTTACATAGGTACTGTGTGATACGGATACTTTGTTAGTATTTAACACTAATACTAAGGTATTGTGTGACTCTGATATATGGTACTGTGTGACACTAATACTTAAACACATTGTGACTATTTCTTGGGATCATTGTGACAGTTAAACATGTTGTTGAAGAATGGATGCGGTATTTCTATAAAAGTAATGCGGTATTTCTATTAAAGGAACTTAGCAGCCAAAAAAAATCAAAAAGATTCATGCAGAATTTATAAGGAAGAGATTTGTTTATTGATTGTCTGTTAATGTAGTGTGGATGGTATAGCATTTGAAAGAAATCTTTGTGTGAAAGTCTATGCCATACCTTCATTCTATATGAGTCATTTTGATACAGACAAATCTATAAACTGTCATGATTTAAACAATGATTTTGTTGTGCAAAACTGGTAATTTAAGGGTTGGGTTTTTTTTATGTCTTTTTTATATTCATGCAGTTTTATCTAACAAGTTTTAGATGACAAGTTTTCTTTCCCCATTTATTCAACACCATTTTCTCTTTGATAATTTGTTAACTTTTAGCATATAATTTTGATCTCCTTTTTACGTGGGTTTGGGACCCAACTTTTGAAATATTTTGTTTGTCATGTCTTTATATAAGATGCGAGTTGTCATTGATTTTACATTAGAAAATGATGATACAGTGATTTTTTTACATCCATTTAGAGTCTTTGGACAATAAATTTTGACTAATTTTTTACTACCATTTACAATCTTTGGACATTGAAGTTTTATTTTTTTTGAAAACTTAGTTTAAATAATTGTGACCAGTTGGCTTAAACCGTGAGATGTTTACGACTATATTATATCTAAGGGTACATTGAAGAAGTTGAAATGTTGGCGGTATGAGATTTGGGGGGGGGGGAATTTACACCTTGAATTTATAGTATGTTGTGTGTATTCAATGACAGTGAGCATTTAAGGTGATATAGCTTGTCACTTAAGTACAGCCACCAGTTTACATCGTGTTTCTAATAGGGAAAAATACTGTTTTAAATGCTGCCTTTTAAATTTCATTTAGATCCCATACTTTTAGCCACTCATGGAATGATGTGTCCAACTTTTTACTTTATACATTTAGTATTATAATTAGAGAAATTTTATGAATTTGTTAAATCCTCAGAAAGTTTCTAACTGGATGTTTTTATTCGCTTGTAAAGTAATAACATTTGATTTGATGCTTTGTTTAAGTGACAAGTTATATTACACAATTTGTGCAATATTCATAGACTTGTTTATTTCACGTACAGTCAACCCTGTTTTATATATATATATTTATTGTGCTTTGCCTTTGATTTGTGAAGCATTTGCTCCCGGTCAATAGTTTAAGCTATCTATTGCTTTAATTTAACGAAGTCTTCCTCGTAAGTTGATGAGGGTCTAGTAAAACATTTTCCGTCTTTGTCGATACAGACTTTAAACAAATGTTTTGAATTTCTCTTTTTTATTCATTGTTTGGAACATAAAGTAAAATATAACAGTTATTAGTTACAGTCAAGTAAAAATGGTTCTAATTGATTAGGTAATTCACAAGAAAGGTCAAATGAGGTGAATTGATTTCAAAGAAGTTTTCGGGGGTATGATGACCGATATTTGGAATGGTATTTTGATGCATAAATATTTCAAACTTTTTATGATATATATCACAAGGATATATCACAAATGAGTTTCCAATACTCCTCGAAATAGTTTTAGTGGCATGTATTGTTGCCAGTTTCTCCTTCTTTCTATCTGTCAGTCACTTATACTTACCGTTTCTCATAAAAGTTTCCTATACTGACAAATACCTGATTGATGTGTTGGTAACCTCTATAAAGCTGGACCCTTGGTTGGATTTTGAGATTGATCTAAACAATGTCATGGTCATTGAGGCTAAAAATAGATTTTCTTATATTTCGTCATGGTAACACCATGTTTTTACCTCATGAAAGCGACATTTGGGAGCAAACATCAGTAATACTGAAATCTTTCAAATTTTTTTTTTTTTGCTAATATTTATATTTTAATGGATTTATAATTGATTTAACGTAAGTGACTTGTAGGAAACAGGTTCGACTGTAGTGTGTAGATATAAATATAGCTGAGTAGAAAGTATAATTGTTATTATGTTTTACTGTAAAATTATAGTTTATTTATAATTATTTGTTTGATTTATTTCTGTAAAAGATCATTTTGTTTTTATATCTTAGATTTTTTTTTTTAAGATTCATGTTGTTAAATGAATGAAGCCTGCTGGCACACCATTTTACCACCTGTTTCAAATCCTGATATGGAAGTTGTTGTTTTAACTCACAGCAGATGAATGGTTTTACTGACGACCTGAGTGCCTGAAATAATTTAAGAAAGGGTGCTTTGCATCTTCTTTAAGCAGATCAGCTAGGTGAAAATCTACTAATCTAGCATCAATCTGTGTATTTCAGTATACACTCAATGATTGAGAGTCAAATCAAACTTCAGAATTATTTTTACTTTAAAAGTTTTCCGGACCAGACATATTTTAAAAAAATGTCAAGGAATTTTTGGTAAAAAAAACGCCATTTTTGCAAAATACATGTGAAATGTTTTTTATATGATGCTGATCTGCTATGGTTACATGACAAAAGCCGGACATCTGATATTGTTTTAAGATTTAACAGCGAACATATTTTAACATTTCAAATTTCGTTTAAAAAAGATTTTACATTTGTTTAATTTTACATGATTTTCAGCAATTCTTTCCTTTAAAAATGCTTGAGTTTTTACCAAAGTTAAACATCTGTTACCATTTTTGTTACGGCCTTCATACTGCCATGGATTTTATTTGGTTCTCATTGGATTTGGTTGATATAGAAAGATTGTTTATTGTAATGTACATTATTGAAATAAAGAATAAATATGAAATTGAGTATTGTGTTTAATTGTGAGAGGGAGATATATGCTATGGGCTTTGTTCTTTATTTTTCAGACATCATAAGGGTTCGGTTTGTTTGAGATAAGTAATGTTTGAACTAAGCCTTGTTTGAGATAACCAATCAACAAATCTCCAGAGTAGTTGCATGTTTGTTTATATGAATATTGATAGTTGAAAAATGTTCCTTTTTACCGTATATAATTCCCAGCTGGTGAAGTTATAATAATCTAGCCATGAGAGTCAAATTTGGCTTCACTATAGAAATACTATGGCACTGTGTTGAATATTGGCATGAAGTATTGTGTGGTGCACCTCTATCAAATTACATAGACTGTTGAAAAAGGAAAATGTTTTTGTCAGAAACTGCATGGGCCATTGTCTTCACGAATCATGCCTATTGTGTCAAAGTTTGCCATATTATAGAGTTTTGAAAAATTAAAAAAAAAAAAAAAACATTCTTTCTGACTGTCATTAAGTGAGCAAAATGGTTGGTCTTAAATCAGACAAAAAAGTTAGTAAAGAATGCCCATGATACCATTGTGCTCCTCTGAGCCCCATGATCACCCTATCCAAGGTGGCGTTTGTAGTTTTCACTCCGGATCACGGCAGTAAGCCACATTGAATTCACCAGAGCACAGGTTAACCACCACATCGTTTCTGGGCAGGCTGTCGAGCATTTTAACAGTACTAGTTGCCTTCACTTTCGCAAGGAACTGAAACTTCTGTATGTGCCAGAGCAGAGGTACAGTTCGAATGACCGTAGAAAGGGTGTTATGATCACTCACAACGAAAATGACCTACGCCGTCAGGGAATCGAACCCGGGTCGCCCGATTCATACATCAGCCTTCATAGTGTCAACTTCTTGAACGGTTCCCATATCATTTTCTTTTGGCACATGCTTCGTAAGAAAATGCATTTCTATTTTGCATTTATGGCCTTGTGCACTCCTCGGCAACTCTGTCATGCTACATGTCTGTACTGAAACACACACAAAAATCATTTAAAGGCACATTTTGTCTCAAGTGAATCTTTTTTTCTTTCTAAACCTGAAAGTACTATGTAGCAATGAATGTAAAAAACTTGTCGAAATTAGAAGAATGTAAACAAAGTAGTATTTTGACTTTCATACAAATACTGTTTCTTTTTAACTGTGCGAATTTCCAAAAGAGGGCACAATTATATGGCCCATGGGTAATGTTTTTAGAAATGGTGACCAGACACCAAAAAATATAAGCTTTTGAATGATAAAAATAAAGGCATATTTTTAGGAATAATGGGTCTTTAATAATTATTACATTTTTTATATTTTTAGTTGTTTTTTTTTTGTATTAGCTAAAGGCCACCACACTGTGTGTAGAGTGGGGGATAACTTTAACAATCACAATTACCAACAAACTTTAGGATTTGCTTCCCTTTAATTTGATTGACCAGTATTTTTTGTAAGGGTAATTTATCTATTTTAGTACGTTTTTAAACAAATTTGTTACAATTTATTTCAATCACTTTTAAGCCAACTTCCTGGAGCTAATAAATCCTGGTGTGATATGAGGAAACTTGATGGTCGTGTCCCGAGTAGAGCTCAAACCTGCAGACCCATAACACCGTAACCACTTAGCCAGTGCTCCCATATCAAGATATCTGCAATTTTAAATTGATATTAGATAAATACATACATAAAAAATCGCCGAATTTCTACCAAAGATAACAACAGCAACAACAACAAAAGATCCGAAATCAAGCATCGGATAGAAACCATTTAATGTCATGTTTTTAGTAGTCATATAAAATATTTTAAAAAAAAATCTTCTAATTTATTTACCGAGTAATCAAGTTGTGAACTGGAATCACAAAGACCCCATAATACAACATGAGTTTTAAAACGTTTAAATGATGGACAGATGCATATTATCTGTAGAAACTAGCTCTGAATCTGAAATTATTTGAAAACCAACATAATGCGTTTGCGACCAGCATGGATCCAGACCAGCCTGCGCATCCGCGCAGTCTGATCAGGATCCATGCTGTTCGCTTACAAACCATATTACAAGTAGAGAAACTGATAGCGAACAGCATGGATCCTGATCAGACTGCGCGAATGCGCAGGCTGGTCTGGATCCATGCTGGTCGCAAACGCATTATGTTGGTTTTTGGTGTGACGCGGCTCATTTGTCGTGATTGTAGCAAAATGAAAACGAATTAGTACTTTGACTTGCATACAAAATACCAAATCACTGTAACTGTTCTAAAAGACAATAGATGCAAATGATGGTTCAGGAAATTAGCAAAAGAGTGACGTTTTGGAAACTATATCAGGACATCAAAAATAAAGCTTTTGAGAAATAAAATAACAGCATTTCTGGGGGCATAATGGGCCTTTAAAGTTATATTTATGTTTGACATTTGAAAACTGAATTGATACAACCAACTACAAAGCACGTTTAGAATCGGGTGATCGTTCGAAAATGTGTGCTTTTATGAAATAAAAATGGAATAAAAATAGATACATGAACATTTTAAACGTCGTGTAATTAATATTGGAGCATGTATAGTAGAAGCAATCTCGATATTTTAATCTAATCTCTCGTCTTTTACATCTTCTATTAATTGCTTTTTAAGTAAATCCCTCTAAGGGATCGAAAGCATGATGCGGCAAACAGATGAAAATTTTATTTGAAGCTATGTCAACACAAAGTGTAGTATCACACAGATGAAATTTTATCAAGAAATAATTATTTTATCAAAAAGTAAACAGACTTCAATTAGAAGTACAAGAACAAACTAAAATCAATTAAGCGAATCTACAAAGATAAATGGGCGTCTAAACAAGGTGGTGGCTTATACATAATTGTTTTTCTTCTGAATATAACTTTAATGGCGATTCTTTTTTCGTCTCTAAAAACAACATGGTCAGATTTCAATTACGGTGAACTTATTTTTATCTCTATTATATGTTAATAGATTTTAAAACCATCTAAAAGAGCTAAAACATTGTGGAAATAATCTAGTAGATCTCTTTAGGGACACTATTCGGGATACATTTGTATACTGTTTCAATTTTATTTAAAAGAAAACGTCTGTTCATTGTTCCAAAAATACGATGTTGTTTGACTTGTGTAACGCTTTAATGAAGTGAATGACTCGTATAATATTTAAGTTGTCCATTGTTGCTGTCCATGTCAGCGGATTTTCTTTTTTAGATACACATCATCGTGTTTAAATGGAATTGCACTTAACCATTTCTTATTTTATGCTTTTGAGTGGATTACTGATTTATCCATGAAAATAATATTTGATAATTTCACCTTCACAACATTATGTTTGCAATACCTTCTAAAAAAATTCTAAAATTCAAAGCAATTCGTAATTTTGTCGATTACATTCCCCTAAACGAGTGTCGTCCTTTTTTCATTTTTACTTCTGTTTAATAATTGAAATATATGTACATACACATGCATGAAGATAGTGAAAAAAGAAACATATACATGTACAAAATGTATACTGAAGTTTGATCTACCAAAGAACAGCAGTATAAACGGGAAAAAATGCAAAATTAGTAAAAAAATGTGTGTGTGTGTGTGTTTTTCCTTATTCAAATACAAAAATATATCATGAAAATGTTTATTATTTACTAAATGTATTCAGTTTATTAAGTCAGATGTATGGCCCATCTAAACCATTAACTCTGTCCGTGAGAGTTATCCTATTATTACAATTGTTCTGGCTTCATTTTACAATGCTTATAACTTCTTAAATCTTTTATTGTTTTTCTCCGGCCACGATCGATACAGCTCTTGTGAATTTGAACTCGGCATGTTGCCAGCCATAGTGACCAATGCCATGTTCCCGTGCCTAATTACGTATCGACTTTCAAAACTGGACATTAGCAAGTTTGATTAGGCCGATTAAAGTCGGGAAAATTGACGATTTCGTCACCGAAAATCTATACAAATCGTGATCGCCCTCGTCACCAGGCGGTAATTACACGAGAAAAATATACCAGTTGATAAATAGCCGCCATTATCCCTTCACTAATCACGTATGCAAATTGAAAATCACATATAAGTGCAGATTTCTTTTCTCTTTATTTTTGTCATGTAAAAAAAGGGTTATAGATTCTAACTGAGTGTATAAGTTTTAGTTCGTTTAGATAATCATTTTCAACAATACATGTAATTGCGATTAAAATTATGAAAATAATTCATACCGTAAAAATCAAGAGAATTTATTAAGATTCGCTTTAATAAGATTCGTTGGGTTCGTAATAGTCTGTCCGATTTCATTGAACTGGAATAAAATAAATGTGCGTGTACGTATATTTACTTTTTTAATATTCAAAATATAAAATTGTTTTAAGGCACTTTTTTCAACGCTTACAATGCTTGATATCTTAAATGGGCTTGTCCGTCTTGAATCTGGACAAAGCCATGCATTATTTTAAGTAAAATGCCCGACTGGACTGCAGAATACCTATATGTGACCAGTAGTTCTCTCCCTTAGACCTCTGTTGTACCGATTATGCTAGTCACAAAAAAAACTCGAGAATGGCGGAGAACTTTAAAAACTTTTATCTAAAGTTCCTACAAATGAATAATGATCGATGCACGATAGATAGATAAATTTCCCAGCAACACATTTATAAATTTAGTTTTATTTCTTTATTTCGTTTGTTTTAATATTTTCAATTAAAAGTAAATAAATTTACTTTACGAAATTAAAAATTTGATCCCGGCGGTTAAGATGTTGAAATTGAAAATCATAATAATAAAAAAATATTAATAATGATAATAATAAAAAAATGCCAATTTAAAAAAAAAAGAATTATTTAGAACCCACTTATTGGTGTTGCATTTTTGGAGAACTTTGAATTTTATTTGAAAAGTCCAACTGAAAGAATAGTTTCCTGCGAACGAAAAGTTATAAATATACGACAAGACCAATTTGCAATTAAACTAAACAATAAACCATTATAAATCAGCCAGAACTAAAGTC